AACATTATGAGAGGGCAGGCACTAAAATTAAGATCTAAAATCTCAGGTGTTAATTGTCTGAGGGCACTCTGAAGCGTATGCTCATATCTCTAGGTTAAGGGAGAATAGCAGCCTGCCCCCTTTGGAGGTTCATAGTATAATGGTTAAAAATGTTTGGAGGTTCATAGTGTAATGGTTAAAAATGTTTGGAGGTTCATAGTGTAATGGTTAAAAATGTTTGGAGGTTCATAGTGTAATGGTTAAAAATGTTTTGAAAGATGGGAGGAAAAAACTTCCTGAGCTTCAAACACAAAGATCAGTACCACTACGAGCTTTAGATTGTAAACAGTTGATTGTTAGGTACTCTTCCCATTTATTCTGCTGGGTGGTCCATGCAGTGTTTCTGCTTGCTCTTTACCATTGCAGAAACCTGACTGACTCAGTGTTCACAATGAAGGCTTAACGGATCTGAGCCTCAAGCATATGTTAAAAATGACCTGGAGTTTATAATCTGTGCAGAGTCTTACTCCCTATAGTTCTGAATAGTTGAAAAGTGCCTGCATATTGGAAAAAGACATGTATTTAAATCTGTATAAATACCTAATTTTGGGAGGGATCTTGAGAGCCAATTGAAAAAATAAATTTTTTTTGCACTAATGGAATTTTTTCCCCCTTGGCAAAAAAAATAAATAAATAAATAAAAAAATAAATCAAGTGGGTGTTATCTTGTCACTTGGTGGCTTGTGTTGTTATTCCTTAGGAAAATGCAAACCTGTGTTTATTTTCAGACATTTTAGGCATAACAGCCATCATTTTTTATGTAAGTGTTCTCAGCTGTATTCATAAATTACATATTTTGAGCTACCAAATAACACTTCATTCAAAATAAATTGATACAGTAGAAGGGAAGTTCTTCATTTAGATGTTTTCTAGCTGCATTTTCTCAGCCTGTGTAAGACTACCTTGTTGTAATAGCCTAAATTTTTGAAACTCACACTATTGCTTCTCTACTATCTACTTTCAGATTACTTCATTTATCAGAAAACTCAATTATGTTTGTAATTGAAATTAATAAAACCAGAATAAAAGTCTATATCTACCCCAAACTGCTTTTATTATTATTTTGAATCTGCAAATACCTTTCTCTAAATGGAAAGATCTGTTTTATGACTTAGAAAGCAGAGTTTACTTTTCCAAACAAGATTTTGATACTGAGAGCTGCAGTTAGGTCCTTTGAGATGGTTATTCCTACCATTAAGTTTATGATAAAACTTTGCTGCTAATTTTTCTCTGCTTGAACTAACCTCTCCATAAGGCACCTTGGTCTCCATATTGTGTGACAGTCACTTTTGTAATAATCACAATGGCTAATATTTACGAAGTGTGAGCTATTGGGCAGACACTGTTATAAATGCATTGGTTACATTTTTATTTAACACAAGTCTATGAATGAGGTACTGTCATTAGCCTCACCTTACAGGTGGGGAAGTTGAGGCACTAGAGCGATTAATTTGTCCAATGTCACAAAGCTAGTAGATAGGGAAGCTAAACCAAGCAGTCTGACTCCATACTCTTAACTGCTTGGTTGTACATATTGCTCCCTTATCAGCACAGCTTTATTAAATTTTGACAATTGAAGTGATATTTTGGTAATAGTCTGAGAGTGTAAACGGTCATAAATGCAACAGCAAAATCACATAGCAACATAGGTGATGGGATGAGATGGACTGTTTTGTAATAAATCACAGGACTGTACCAACAAAAAGGATATGCATGTAAAGAAAGCTAAATAAGAATGAGAAAAGAGCCAAAACCGGTTTGGCTCAGTGGATAGAGCATCGGTCTGCAGACCGAAAGGTCCCAAGTTCGATTCCAGACAAGGGCATGTACCTTGGTTGCGGGCACATCCCTGGTAGGGGGTGTGCAGGAGGCAGCTGATCGATGTTTCTCTCTCATCAGTGTTTCTAGCTCTCTCTCCCTCTCTCTCTCTCTCTCTCTCTCTCTCTCTCTCTCTTCCTCTCTATAAAAAAATCAATAAAATATATTTTTAAAAAAGAATGAGAAAAGAAATCAGTGCAGAGAGTATAGTAATAATCCAGATAAATACAATTACTTTAGCTAAATATTAAAATGAGCTATAAACTTCTCAGCAGAAAGGTAAATACAGTGACTTTATATACTACTTTTCAGTGTCTGCTGAAAAGCATAGCTAGTTCCAGTTTTGAAACCAGAGATTAATTTACGTTTGAATACCCTCTGGTAGTGACCTTGAATAAGTTGCCACCTCTCAGTTCTCTTTTCTGTGAAATAAGGATGCATCACACACCTCCTGTACTTACCTGATAACACCGCCCAGATTCCTCCTCCAGGAACGAGACATGAGTCATTGGAGCGCTGATTGGTGATGGCTTCTGGTTGGATTCCTCCGGGGAATTTCTCTTTGCCCGAGGGAGCTGTCTTCCCCAAGGTTAGGCTCCCTGTCCTGTGGCAGCCCGAGTCCACTGAGTGGCCAGTGCTGAAATACAAAGGCACGGCCTCCTTGCCTCAGTTCCGTACCTCACTGTGGGATTAGCTAACGCCTCTGTTCCAACCTCAGCTTCTTTGCCCAGTGCTGCTGCTGCTCAGTCTCACAGTAAACCTGCACACATTCTCCTTAGTGTTTTCTGGGACCCTCCCTTTTAGCTTTATTACCAAAATGAGAAATAATAAATGTACACTGTTTAGCCCCAGTCTCAGCGCACAGTAGGCACTGAGAAAATAGTAATAGTTTACTTTCATCACATGGGACATTGAGCCGTATATGGAAAATGTTTGATTTTTATAGAAGTACAGACATTGTTTTCATATGGCCATTGCTTTCAGCAATCCTCATAAAGATAAGAATAAAATGCTACCAAATGAGCTATAAAAGTATGATTGACCTGGTCTAGTTGGAGCATCATCCCATTCACCAAGAGGTAGTTGGTTTGATTCCCAGTCAGGAGCAAATTGGGGAGCAACTGATGGATGTTTCTCACATCAAAGATATTCCCTCTCTCTCTCACACACTCTCTCTCTCTCTCTCTCTCTCTCTCTCTCTCTCTCTCTCTCTCTCTCTCTTTCTCTCTCACTCATCAATGAATATGTCCTTGGGTGAAGATTTTTTTAAAAACACGTAGAATGATTACTTGAATTTCTTTCTAATAACTTTCTAAATAAATTCAGGTTGCCTAAGAATAAGTGTATAAACTTAAAACATGCTTATCTTCAGGTTTTCCTAGGAAGAGTATGTGTCAATGTGTTCTTTTTCACACATTTATGACCTGTAGTTTATATCATGTAAGCGCAAAACAAAACAAACACACTTTTTGAAGTAATTCAATATTTGCCTTTTTTAAAAAAAACACAATTGACTGAATCTTGACTTAATGCTTTTCCCTAGATATCTTAATGGAGAAAACCATCTTTATAAAATCTTAATTTTTACATGATTTTATCCAAGTGTCAAGATTATTTTTTTCACAAACAACACTTTTAAAATTTACTAATGGAAAAATCTGTATAATAGGTTGTTTTTGCATTAGAGATGGTAGGGTTTTGTTTTTGTTTTAATATTTTTTTTTTATTGATCTCAGGGAGAGAGAGAAACATCGATGATGAGAGAGAATCATTATTCTGATGCCTCTTGCACACCCCACACTGGATTGAGCCTGCAACCTGAGCATATGCCCTTTCTGGGAATCGAACCGTGACCTCCTGGAGCATAGGCCAGCACTCAACGGCTGGCCTGGATAGTAATGTTTAACGTCATCAAAGGTCAGGTCATTGGCGTCAATTCAACACCAACAGGAATTCCAGTTTGGATGCAGTAAAGAAGGAAACTTTATTTAGTGCAAACAGCTCAATTGTGACAGAGCATGTCTGTGTAAATAGTACTCCTAAGGCCTGAGGCAAGGCCCCTGTCCAGCTAGACAGCTCTGCTCTGCTCCTTGCTGGTCTGCTCTGTATGCCTGCCTAGTCTGCTCCAGAGAGATCTTTGGTGTTTCAGCCAAGGATGGGCAGCCTTAAGTGGAGAGGGAAAGTACACTTCCAGAACCAGAGATGAGCTGACTTAAAGAGACAAAAGTCCCTGCTTCTAGTCTTTGATTGGTCGGTCTTCATGAAGTTAGGACTCTTTAAATCCTCACAGTTTGATTGGCCCAAAGGACATTGTCCTGATTGGTCAGAACGGAGACCCCTCTGATTTATGAAGAAGCTGGTGGGGATATAGCTGCTTATCTCTAGGTGGAGCAAGTCTCAGTCCTGTTGGTTGAAATAGGATTCCAAGAACTCCTTCATAAAGGCTGGCTCAGATGGCAGAACACAGTGCAGGCAGGCCTTTCTGTGAAGGATGCAGGCAGCTTAGCGCAGGCTTCTCCCTCAGGCCCTGTATAGAAATGGCTGCTAGGCTCCGCTTTCTTTCTTTCTTTTTAAATGTGTTTGAGAGGAGAGGAATAGAGAGATGGAAACATCAGAGATGAGAGAGAATCATTGATGAGCTACCTCCCGCTTGCCCCCCACTGGGGATTGATCCCTCAACCCCAGTATGTGCCCTGACCGGGAACCAGACTGACCTCCTGGTTCATAGACTGATGCTCAACCATGAGCCATGCCAGTCAGGTGGCACCTGGTAGTTTTTATATGCCAGGTCTTTTGAAGGAATACTTATTTGTCTTGGGGCCTTGGTTCCTCATTGGACTAGGTGATCTCTAAGATTTTTTTCCATTTTAGGACTCCCATATATTTTGGAAGTTGGGAATTGGTTTGTCATTAGAGCCTTAGGCAGCTCCAACAACCCTGGTCAATCAGTATATTATAAAAAGTTTTTTTTTTTTTTTTAAGTTTTATATTGATTTCAGAGAGGAAGGAGAGGGAGAGACTGATAGAAACATTAGTGATGAGAGAGAAACATCGACTGGCTTCCTCCTGCACACCCTCTCACTGGGGATCAAGCCCACAACCCAGGCATATGCCTTGACTGGGAATCAAACAGTGACCTCCTGGTTCAGAGGTCAACACTCAATCACTGAGCCACGCCAGCCGAGCTATTATAGAAAGTTTTATAAGAGATATTTGGCAAAGATAAGAACACAGATAATGAATAGTATTAAATGCTCGGGAAACTCAAATGAGTTAAGGACTAAGTTTGAGGACTTTTTTTTTTTTTTTTTTTTTTAAACAATTAAGAAGACTTTGCTGACCATAATATGAACAGCTTCAATGGAATACTCCCCTTGGATTAAGGATTGAATAAGTGTAGGCCTTTGAGACCCCTTTAGTGTTAAAATGGGAAGATGTTAAAGCTTGGCCGTTGTGACTACTAAGACTTAATTTCATGTCCGTACTTGTTTCTAGATGTGTGAATGTCCCTGTTTTAAGTTGTTATCTTGGGAGATTTATCTAGCACCGATGTTGGTGTTAATCAGATACTGAATGCTCCAGTACGGTGTGATACAGTCGGAACAGGTAACCAGCATAACTCTGAGTTATTTAGTATTGCTTAACTGCCACTTCAGAAAAGGATTTCCTTCCCAGGAAATAGAAAAATTACTGTATTTTGTTAAAGAGTAAGTTGGTAACCTTGTGTGCTTCTTTTAGGAAACAGGGGAATTTGGCTAACTTACCTCTTAAATGAAATATTAATGGTGCTTTATTTAAATGAGCAGAACAGTGAGTAAGATGGGTAAATTGTACTTAAACTGGATGTTCCAGTTCCTAGAATCTCTTGTAAAATGTAAGACTTGAATGAAATTTACCTTATTTTAGGATTTCTAGCTATTTCCTGTTATATTCTTTTATGGAAGAAATAATTGCATGGTACAGAGCAGTTTTGTTTTGTTTTTTAAATATATTTTTATTGATTTCCGAGAGAACGGGGGGGGGGGGGCGAGAAACATCAATGATGAAAGAGAATCATTGATTGGCTGCCTCCTGCACACCCCCTGCTGGGGATCAAGCCTGCAACCCAGGTATGTGCTCTTGACTAGAATCGAACCCGTGACCCTTCAGTCTGCAGACCGATGCTCTATCCACTGAGCCAGGCCGGCGGGGGCCAAAGTGGTTTTTTAACACGAGGTTCTTGTATGGGCTCTTCACAGAGTCCGTGTTCCCCTTGAAATTGTCTTCTATGTAGTATTTTTTTCTGGGGAGGAAATCCATGACTCAAAACAGTAAGACTCTCTGCTCTGGAGAGGAAAAGGAAAAGGAAAATTTAAGAATAAATCTTTCATTTGTCAAAATGTCCTAAGTTTCCCTAAGAACAATGGGAGTGTGAAACAACTGTATTTTTGTGGGGGTGCTTTTTTTGGGGGGAAAGGGAGTTTGGGTGGTTTTAAAGGATTTGTATTATTTGGCAAATCAGTTTGCCAGATTTTACTGTATGAAATCCTAAGAAAATAGAGAAAAGTTCTGCTAACCCAGATGGATGCATTTTGCCTTAGATGATAACCTAATCATTAGTTACGTCTTGATAGATAGATAGATAGATAGATACCATGTTTCCCCAAAAATAAGACATCCTCTGAAAATAAGACCTAGTGCAACTTTGGGAGAAAAAATTAATATAAGACACTGTCTTATTTTCGGGGAAAGGTAGATAGGTACATAGATAGATATAGAAATGCATACTGTATTCTTTATATCTCTCTTACTGTGCACAAAAACGTTTCTTTACTTTCAGGTTTTTTCCTTTCCTACCTTTGTACTCACAGTCAGAAAATAAAACCAGTTAAATAAATTTTGAGTCTTAAAGATTTTGAATGAACGCAGTGTTGTTGTTTTTGCCTCAATTAACTAAGAGTAACTAGTTACAATAAAGTAATTAAATTTAAAGGAAGAAGATCTGTTTCACAAACTTTTTTGCTTAAAAATACACATCTGCATAGACAGAGGAATTGTTCTCAACACTTTTATAATCAGTCACTGGAGACCCACTCCCAGTAATACCCATTTCCGGTGGAATATAATATATGATTTTTAAGACTTTGTTTGCAAACACAGTAAGTGTATTCTTTACTTAATCTGTTGGGTTAAAAGGGCCTCACATGTGTCATAGTTAGTTGGCAGAGGATTAAGATAAACGATGTAACCCATTTCTAGAATGGCCTTTGGAAATCCGTCTCACTGCTTGTTTTTTCTCATGACACTGCTTCCCGCTGTGATAACCAAGCTGTCCTCCACGGAGGGACTTGAGTTTCCATCTGACATCTCAGGCTGCGCAATACGTTTATATGGCTACCCCTCCCCATTGGATGCCGTCCCCCCGCAGTCAGTTCTGTTAGAACAGTGGTTTTGTCATGGTGCTTACTTTATGATTGGATGACACGGGGCACATTTTCAGAAAACGACTGAGCCAGCGGCAGAATTAGTTGGCATATGCCCGTACGATTGGCTTAGCTTGCTTCTGGCCTCGCCATCCCACGGGAGAATGCCGTTCTTCCCACTTCCTGGCAGTCAGAGGAGGAATTGGAGGACGCTTGAGGCAAAAGAAACATTACCTGTATCCCCAAAGAAGTTCCTGTGACGGCAGAAAAGGGCTTTGATGAAACCACTGGCCCTACTTACAGACCTTGTTTTCCAAGCCTTTCGTTGTATGATTTGCCCTTTTCTGAACTCTACAATTTCCCTCTCTTGTAGCTGGTTCGATGCCCAGAACTGAACGCTGTGCTCCAGCTGTGGCCTCACCGGTGCTGACTAGAGAGGAAGAGCCACCTTCATAGCTTACATGTGATTCCTCTGCTTATACCACCCAATGCTGGATTTACTTACTTTGGCAAGATAGCTGCATTGTGCGCTGTATTTAATGTTCCGTGTGCTGTAACCCTGGGTCTTTCTCTGCATTGCTGCGTGAAACCCCCACCCCGCCCATCTCAAACCCCTGCCTCCGTTTACCTGCCCCCCCCACCCCCGTAGACTCCCCTTACATTCATCCACAATGAATGTCATCTTTATTCTCTCGTTTCTTTTCCGTCTGATCTTAAACTTGGGCAAAACTTCCCCTCTACCAATTGTCGGTTGTCAGCCTTCTTATTTGTCTTTCTGCTTTGGTAACGGGACACCTTTCAAGTCTTTCCTCTGGTCCTTTTCCTCCTGTGGTCCTGGTACAGTTGGCACGGGGGACTTAGTGAGCATCCGCCTGGCATTGCCTGGCGATCAAATAGCTGAGAAGTCCTCTGGTTTGACCACCGACTCAGGTTGTTACCTACGCTCTCGGGCCTCCGTTCAGGTTTCCTTAACCCCTCCTGCCTCCATCCCTGTGGCCTCACTCAGGAGGCCCTGTATCTCACAGTCTTCCCCAGGGAGGGCCAGAGGCTTGTTTACCATGGACATTTCTGACAAGCGTCCCTCTTAATTGTGATTAGAATGGTCTTTAATCATTTTTAGCAAATTCTTCCCCCCCTTCCCCAAGATATTGGTTGTTGTGGTTTTTTTTTAAATGTTAGAGCTTAAAAAAAACAAAAGAACTTAAGTCACTATAAATTTCTCAGGAGTGAGGTAAGGGAAGAAGGAAGGGAAGCCAGGCGATGGATTGTTCTGAGCAGGAAACAGGAACTGGCTCTCCAGGAAAAGCTAAGGCGAGGTCCTCGCAGGGTCTGGTCAGCTGTCAGGAATGGGAGGCGAGACTTTGTTCTTTCTAGATTCTGGAGCACGGTCTTACCTTCAGACTCAGAGCAGGTGTTTACGCTGGGCTGTGAGGGACTCTAGATACGGTTGTGTAAGGGCATGCTTTGGTGAACCATGGAGAGTGTGCAAGGTGTGACCTGTCTGACTTAGGGGAGATTGGTGAGGACACCTCATGTGTCCTTTTTGAGTCATTTCCAAATCCCTCTGGTTTCTTACAGTAGCCGTCAAGCTGAAGTTTGAGCTCTTACTTTTTTTCCTATGCCCTATTTCAATAGCTTCTCCTTAGATCTGTCATCTTTGCTGAACCTAGAAGATACCTCATATGTATTTATGTTTTGAGAGTTAAAATCAATCTGGAAATCTTTTTAACATTTTCAGTACATCACGTTTTATCATAACGATAAAATTTTCTCTGGTCACCAAGCATTTTTCCTTCAGACCCTACTAGACGCTTTGCATACCAGCATATTAACTATTAAAGCGTATCTCACAAGAACACTGCAAGGCGAGACATAGACCGTAAAACGCATCATCTGACGGAGCTTCCACATTGGCGACCGTTAGATGTGGCTGGTTTTCTTATTCACCGTCTCACAGTGAGTGTGAGCTCACTTCGGTGCTTTCAGAGGAAGTGAATCCTCCCTGTGGTTTCCCCCTGGAGGGCCAGCCACAGTGGCCTTGTTCGCGCCCAGGTCGCAGCCCGGTAAGCGTGGCCCCTTCCTTCAAAGGAACATCAGCTGTGTCCCCGCCTTCGGAACCACCCTCAGTGGCAGCCAACTGGCCCCTCTCGTGCTGGGTGCTTTTCGCAGCAGCCAGGCAGTGGCGGCACGGTTCTCACGTCCATTTATGGCCCTGGAGGGCGAGAGGGACACGGCCGGGACTCTCCATGTACGGTCCTTGAGGAGTCGGGAAGCGTGGTCGGGTGTTCTTGGAGGCAGCAACGAGACATTGTGAGATAAAAATAAATCGCAGGAGATGTTTGCGATTCCAGTTCCAGTGCTGCCAGGAGGACGGAGAGCACGGGGGCGAGAGCAGAGTCCACGAGCTCTGGGAGGCATCTGTGTCCTTCCCCTGAAGGCTGCCCGGGACCCCCCCAGTTCTCTAAGAGCTGTGTGCTTGTGTGACCGTCCCTTAGGAAGAGAAAGCCCAGTTCTTTGAGGCATCAGTGGAGGCACCAGAAGAGAATCGAGAGAGGAAGAGGGAGGAAGGTGCTCAGGCAGGGGGCAGGCTGGCCGGTTTGGGGACAGGGTGATGCTGACCACCACTCTATGTCTGAGGAATATCCTCCTAAGTGTCATGCTCTTATGATTCCCTCTGCCCATCCGGGTTTCTGGCGTCAAGAGAAGATCTGCAAAGTATCTTCACTGAACTTTCATGGAGGTTCTGTCAAGGCTTCTGAGTTGTTTTAGTTCGGTGAGAACAGGTGATGTGTTGGCTTATGGGACGTCATCTCACATCTAGGAGACAGTCATGGTCTGGCAAGAGCACGCACGGAAGTCGGAGGTGACCTGCTTTTGCGCAGGCGTGTTAGCAAGTGTTTAGGAGCCACCAGAGGAAAAAAGGGTTTTTGTCTCAAGGAAACTCTCAGAGTGAAACCCAGTCAAGCAGAAGGAACATGGAGGCAGAGATGGGATAGAGACTGAGAGCAACTAAACTAAATTTGGAAGCTGGGACCAAGTCCTTGATTTAGCTTTTGCAATATCGTTCAACTGAGGAAACTGGCTGATAATACGCACTACGCCTTAGAAGACCCTGCAGACAATGGAAGGGCTGTCTGTGTGAGATAATGAAGTCATCCAGGCTTTCTGTGTGGACTTGCAGGATGGTATTTCTATGCTGTGCGTTGGAAGGCAGAGAGATAAATGAAATAACACCCCTCCACCTCACTTTCCCCCAAAAAGAAATTAGTGGCTTCACTTGCTGTTTGTTGGGCTGGCAGTTTGAGTTGATGGAATAGACTAGTCTTACTGGATGAGTTTTAGATTAGGTGTACTGTTTCTTGATTATGGATGTTTGAGACTGGAAGTCAGCAGCATTATTGATTTGACCTCTCTTAAATTTTAGCCACTTCCCCAAAGACAGGGTGAGTTAGTGAGGAGTATGGACTCTTGAGTGATACGGTTCACTAGTGGATTCATTTAGGGGATTGTTTTTACCCTGTCTTCCTTCGTAAGAGTAAGGAAGGTGATAGTCTTTGCTTCAGGGAACTCTCCTTTCTGTCCTCCCTCCCTCACTTTTCCCCAATTCTGGCCCCAAAGCAGCTCTATCTCTTCTGTGGCAGGTGTGCATCCTATTGGCTGGCTGGTATTTCTTGTTTTCTTTTTTTTTTCTTCTTATTTTTAAGTGGGGGAGGGGGTATAAAATATGTGTATGGGGTACATGCAATAATGTTGTAATAATTATTGTTTAATTGATAATTAATTGCAAAGTAATTGTTTGAATGATAACGTGTTTTGAGTAAATGCTAAATTAGTAAATTTTTTTTTCTAATATAATAATGAATTTGAAATGTAGCATTCCTGTAACAATGTGTCTCTGTTTGTCTGTCTGTGTCTGTCTAATAGTAATTAATATCTGTGGTCCGTACCTGGAAGAGGAAGGACAGCTTTAAAGGAATAACAAAAGACTTTGTGTCTTAGACCCTTCGCAGGTGTTACAGTCGGGTGAAAGAACATGGTGTTGGGAAAAGAAAGAGCAGTTACACATTTGAACAGTTGGAACAGGTGTTTGGTCAGGGAGGATGGGATGCTCAGCCCTGCCAGCCTGTACTTATTAACAGTAGTGGCTTGTACCAGGAGCTGGAGTCAGATGGCAGCACTATGGAGGAGTATTCACAGGAGGACTGGGGAAACCACAGTCAGGATCTCCATGGCTACCCAACAGATCAGGAATTGGGTAAGAAAGCCGGCATGTCTGCTACTCGTGTGTGTGTGTGTGTGTGTGTGTGTGTGTGTGTACCTTTATATGTGCACTGGGACTGGTACAGTCTGTACTGGCAGCACAAGGCATGTAGCCTGTTTATCTGGGGCATTTTGGGCAGCCTTGATTTAGTCTTAAACTACCAGCTAGTGCTTGGTGTTGGTCGTTTGGTGATTTGGGTACCAGCCAACAGCCTAAATCTACCGGAGAATTCCTTACCCTGAGCTACCCAGGCAGCTGGGTGACAGAATGCTATGCCCTTTGGAATATCCTGCACCTCTTCATTCTGCCGTGCCTGCCATGCGCACTGGCTCCTGGCCCAGCTGCCATAGAGGAACCGTCTTTTTCCCCTTCCCGTTTGTGATTTGGGAATGGTCCCTCCCAGACTTCGGTCTGAACAAAATATGAAGGGAAGCCTCTATTTATCTCAAAAAGGGCTCATAGTTGAGCTTTATCAGCAGTCATGTTCCTTCACATTTCACAAAGGATTCCAGCAACAGCTGAAATGATTTATCACAGTCTTAACGTTCACAATTGAAACGAAGCTGAGCTTGTGTGGCCTAAGTAAGAGGGTATATGTGCATTGCTTTTTTTGTAGTAAATGCTCCAGTTTTGGTTTTCATGATGCGGAAGTCCTAATCACGATTCTACTGCAACCATTATAGCTTAATAGCGAGCTGTGTGATGAGTACTCACTCACACGTGAATGCTGTCACTCCCCAGTGAGAGAGTATGGTGGGACTGGCTCTATCGCTGTACTTCTCCAGCTCAAGATAATTAACATTACTCCATCATCATCCCTGGTGCTAATTCAAAAGAAACAGTATTAAACTAGTGTTTCTTGTGAATGCTGGTTTTTTTGTTTGTTAAATCTCAAATATTGGAAGAGAGAGGGAGACAAGAAAGAGGCTTCTAACTGTAGGACTAACACAATTTAAGAAAGAGACTTTAAGATTGGAAGAATAAGCCCTGGCTGGTGTGGCTCAGTTGAGCATTGACCCATGCACCATGAGGTTGCTGGTTGGATTGCCGGTCAGGGCACATGCCCAGCATGGCCTCGATCCCTCATGGGGGGTGTGCAGGAGGCGGCCCATTGATGTGGTGCTCTCACATCAGTGTTTCTCTCTTTCTCCCTCTTCCTTCCTCTCTCTCTAAAAACCAGTTATTCTTTAAAAAGAAAGATTGGAAGAATAAACAGGGCAGATGCTAAGCGATTACTGTCTCTTCACTTCAAAACAGTAATGAGGTCTGAATTACTTTGGCATCCCATAACTCTGGTTTTGCCAGAGAGGTTTAAGCCACCCAAATCTTTGGGGGTGGAAATAACATGCAGAATATGTGGATCCTGATATCGGGGAAGTAATTCTCTGTAAAACCTACATAGAAAATCCAAATCTCGCAGAATTATTTTCATTCTTGTTCCTTTAAAAATCATGTTTGCAGAGAAATTAAGCTTTAAGCTCCCAGCTAGAAATCTACTGGTGACCTTGAAGAATTTTATACTTGTAGAGCTGGTTTCTGATCTTGCATATAAATGTATGCATCTCATTATAAAAGAGATACATATAAATCTGGAATTGGGCAGCTGCTTGAGACTAGAATCAAGTCATCAAATTGGGATAGATGGATGAACAGTACACATATAGCTACTTACCTACATAAATGTATGCCACCACTTAGGAGACTATAACTTGTTTCCATAACCTTGCCTTTCAGATGAAATACCTGTCACAAAGAGAACATTAAAAATAAAACAAGAGTCTTCTGATGAAGCACAGTAAGTAGACACTTTCCTTCTCTACAAAGTGTATTCGTCTCGGTTTACTGGGAGGTGCTTCCTCCGCCATCTCACTGAGGAAGCGTGCTAGCCATTCTTCCTCACTCCCTTAGCGTAAGCTTTCCGTGGTTAACCTAAACACGGTGACAGTGTTACATACAACAAGAAGAAATAAATCCGTTACATGAAAAGAAGCCTGTTTGTGGGTGTGTGGATCTGGACACCTGGATGTTTTACTAAGATGGAAAGATGAGTCGCAGGACCCGAGTTTATCTGAAGTTAGGCAGAATGATAGAAGGGCTAGAGGACATGTAAATTTCTTAGGTTACATTTAGGGAATCAAAAAACATGCTCTTACTCGGCTGGTATGGCTCAGTGGTTCAGTGTCAACCCATGAATCAGACGGTCATGGTTCTATTCCTGGGCAGGGCACATGCCTGGGTTGTGGATCTCGATCCTCAATAAAGATATATTTTAAAAAATATTTCAAAAGAGGACAAGGAAGGATGGTGGCTCTGAAATGAGTTTTTGGGTGTGTGTTTTTTTAAAAGCATTGATCCATGGAGAAACATGGTCCTATATCTTAACCTCACAAGTAACACATCCTACCTAATAAAAGAGTAATATGCAAATCGACCATCACTCCAACACACAAGATGGCTGCCCTTATGTGGTCAAAAATCCTGCCCCCCATGTGGACACAAGATGGCCAATTTAAGATGGCCAACAGGGGAGGGCAGTTGGGAGGGACCAGGCCTGCAAGGGAGAGCAGTTGAGGGCGATCAGTTCTGCAGGGGAGGGCAGTTAAGGGTGACCAGGCCCGCAGAGGAGAGAAGTTGGGGGCAGCCGGGCCTGCAAGGAAGGGAAGTTGGGGGGGACCAAGGCCTGCAGGGGAGAGCAGTTGGGGTGGGGACCAGGCCTGCAGGGGAGGGCAGTTAGGGGCAATCAGGCTAGCAGGAAGGCAGTTAGGCATCAATCAGGCTGGCAGGGGAGTGGTTAGGGGCAATCAGGAAGGCAGGCAGGCAAGTGGTTGGGAGACAGCAGTCCTAGATTGTGAGAGGGATGTCCAATTCCCAATTAGGCCCAATCCTACTGGGGTCAGGCCTAAATGGGCAGTCGGACATCCCTCGAGTGGTCTCAGATTGGATAGGGTGCAGGCTGGGATGAGGGATACACACCCCCGTGCATGAATTTCATGCACCGGGCCTCTAGTTATAAATATTAGAAAAGTGGCCAAGTGCCTTTGTGTCCTCTGAGAAGAGGGACAAGTTCCCAGGAACACAGTGATTTCATCTCGATGGCCACTCTGACACTTGAGAAGCTCTCAAGGGACGCTGGAGGGTGGAGGAAAATCCAGGGCAGTGTTTGCCCTCAAGAAGTAGCTGATAGCAAAATATGTCACATCTTTGTCATCTCGCAAAGAAAGTCAAGGAGAGTAAGAGGTCAGACTGAGAATGACTGCATGGGCGATCCCTCAGTGTTAACAAAAGCTTTTCCCCTGGAAGATTTGAGAATTTAATAGGAAGTTTCCAGGGTCTGTCTCCTCTCAAGAAGCTAATAAACTGGCACATACACCCTCTTTCTTGTACACACTTGATGGTACATGAGGGGTTAGTTGAGTATTTTTGTAGCTTAAGTCTATAATTGTTGTAGAGGGTAATAGTTGGTTGCTAAGTTAATATTTAATGAACTTCAATCTTCCATTATCAAAGATTTACCATACCTGAGAAGCAAACTTGTAATTGCATATCCCCACATATATATGAATCATGGGATATCATTTATAGTTATATGAATTCTGCAGCATATGCAGAAAGAATTCCCTGCCTTTTCTGTCATAACAGTTAATTATCTGAATCAAAATTTCTTTACTTTTTTCCCTTTATAAAATATTTTCTAGAACAGTCTCAATTCATGGTCTTGAAATTTTTTAAAAATCCTCACTCAAGCCGAGACCGGTTTGGCTCAATGGATAGAGCGTCGGCTTGGGGACTGAAGGGTCGTGGGTTCGATTCCGGTCAAGGGCATGTACCTTGGTTGCGGGCACATACCCAGTAGGGGGTGTGCAAGAGGCAGCTGATCGATGACTCTCTCTCTCATCGATGTTTCTAACTATCTCTCTCCCTTCCTCTCTGTACAAAAAATCAATAAAATATATTTTAAAAAAATCCTCACTCAAGGACATATTCTTTTATTGTTTTTAGAGAAGTGGGGTGGGGGGGAGTGAGAGAGAGAGAGATGGGTTGCTTCCCATACATGCCTCAACTGGGGATTGAACTCTAAACATAGGTCTGTGCCTTAACTAGGAATGGAACCCATCAGTTTTTGGTGCACAGGACAACACTATAACCAACTGAGCTACCCAACTAGGGCTTATTATCTTAAATTTTTATCTCTTAAAAGCTAAGCCTAATAGGGACCTTTTACATCTGCATTCCCGTATCTTTTTTTTTTTTTTTTTTAATATATGTATTGATTTTTTTACAGAGAGGAAGGGAAAGGGATAGAGAGTTAGAAACATCGATGAGAGAAACATTGATCAGCCGCCTCCTGCACACCTCTTACAGGGGATGTGCCCGCAACCAAGGTACATGCCCTTGACTGGAATCGAACCCGAGACCCCTCAGTCTGCAGGCCAACGCTCTATCCACTGAGCCAAAGCAGTCAGGGCTGAATTCCCAGATCTTAAATCTGTGTTGAACTAACAGTTCTTTTCAGTTTGGAAGACGTAATGAATTTCTTCTACAAATAGAAGAAAATGTCCTTTTCTTTTTGCAAGCATGTATCGGCCAAAATTATTGCACTTTCAGAATTTCCAACTTTGAAGTCAAGATGTTCATTATTTTAAATGACACCGTATACCTTCCTCTTTGGCTGACTTACTGGAATGACACTGTTCAACATGAGCATATAGGTTTCGGGTGTGGGTTTTGTATACGTTACAAAATCTGTCTATTGCACTGTGTGCCCTCCACCCAAAGCCAGATCTTCTCCTCTCACCTTATATTAGGACTCCCACCCTCTTCCCTCTGGCAGCCAACACACGGCTGTTTGTGCTCACGAGTTTCGGTTTTATATCCCACACGTGAGTGAAATGGAACGGTTCTTAGCTTTTTCTGACTGACTGACTTCACTCAGCATAATGTTCTCAAGGAAGATTCCCTTCTGCAGACAGCTTTCTTCACTTGCTCTTGGTTGGGTCTGCAGTCCATCATTCGCATGATAATAGCCACTTAAAACAGCTCATGATCCTTGTGCTCTGAGGTCCTAGGGTCTTACCTATCAATAGTTGCTAAGGTTAATACAGCCAGCCTATCTAAGTAATGGGAGGCAGCTTATCATTCATTCCCAGAAACTTCCTAGGGGATAGTGTTCTCAGATTTTATACTATTTTATACTCCACCTGCCCTGACCCATATAGAAGCCACTAATCACATGTGTTTATTGAGCCGTAACTTCAAATTATAATGAAAAGTACCTCACGGGCCATGTTCTGAGTGCCGCTGCTAGCATGGTGGGTGGCACAGATAGGGAACAGTTCCGTCATTGCAGGAAGTGCTGTGGACAGTGCTCATCCAGACCCCTGAGGAATTTGCTTTTTTATTTCTCTTTCCAGGAAGAGAGACAACATGCAGAACATCGTCCAGATTTTGGAATCGGTGCAGTTGAAATGGGAACTGTTTCAGAGCTGGACGGACTTCTCAAGGCTTCATCTTTCTAACAAACTGGCCATCTTCGGCATCGGCTACAACACCCGCTGGAAAGAGGAGATCCGCTACCATCATGCCGAGATCAGCTCCCAGGTGCCCCTGGGCAAGCGCCTCCGGGAGTACTTCAACTCCGAGAAGCCCGAGGGCCGGGTCATCATGACCCGCGTGCAGAAGATGAACTGGAAGAACGTTTACTACAAATTCCTGGAGATCACCATTAGCGAGGCCCGGTGCCTGGAGCTGCACATGGAAATTGACTGGATCCCCATCGCCCACTCCAAACCAACCGGTGGCAACGTCGTGCAGTATTTATTGCCGGGAGGCATTCCCAAGAGCCCGGGCCTGTACGCCATCGGCTATGAGGAATGTCTGAAGAGGCCCTCCTCCCCCCACGGGCAGCAGAGCTCCCTGGACCCGGGAAAGGAGGGCAGGGGTGACCTGGAAGCCCTTTCGGCACCAGCCTCGTTACAGGCAGAGGCAGAACCCGCGCGGATCACCTACTGCTACCTCGGGATCGCCGAGGTCAGGACCCTGCAGCAGTGCTTGTTTTTACACTTCCAAGCCAACACCAAGACCTTCAGCAAGGACTGGGCTGGGATCAATGGGTTTTTGTCTCAGAACTGCATTGTGGATCCCGGAGTCTCCCCCAAATCCATCTACATCAAGTTTGTGGAAGTAGAGAGGGATTTCCTCTCCGCGGGCTCTTTAGTCGAGTGCCTGGAAAAAGCCATCGGGTACCGCTTAAAATTTAACAACTGAGTGTCATCCTTCATAAGGATCCCGGCTCTTACCTCCCTCTTCTCACTGCCTGTGACCCAGACTGTCCCTCACGCAGATGCTGCCATCAGACTCTCCATGGAAACTCTTTCCACCGCTGGGCCAGTACAACCCGCAAAGGATCACACGAGACTTTGAGCAAACAACACAGACCTCACCTCCAAATGCTCACTTTGAGCAAATGAGATTTACAGCGAACTTGCATGGTGGGTCGACTGTTTTTTTTTTTAAAAAAAAAAAAACATTTTTAAATGGGTATTAGAGCCCTAATATAAACAAACATAGGTACATTCCATATTGGACAAAACTTATACTTTGAGTTTCATATAAAATTGAAAAATTTTGTATTTTTTCCACGACGTTTCCTTTTTACACATCTCTATGTCTCTACGTAAGTATTATTTACAACCCTGAATAAATAAGCAATAGATAATGGCAAGTTAAATCTCAAGTCACAGTCAATAAGACTGTTTTTCAATATCACCTTTAGCTACGATTGTATATAGTTTCATTTTTTCACCAGCCAAGTGTTTTGCTATTCCCAATCAGTGTTGCCTGCAAAGACCTCTGTTTCTGTGATGTACCAACTTGACGGTTGTGTTGCCGTTTAAACTTTTTTTTAAAAAAAAAAATTAAAATGATTCCTGGCCTCTTGGCGTAGTGGTTGAGCTTTCTGTGGCAGAGTGTGGCCACGCTGGCAGTGGGCACTGTGCTCTGGCTTCCTGCTGAGAACAAACCCAGCAAACAGCAGATCTTCACTTTCTTGCACTGTCTGCACCCCACTGTCATTATTTCTTGTCAGAGTGTACCCAAGATCATTGGACATTGCATTTTGTATTTTTAAAAAACGACTAGGATATTCCTTCTGACCCTGAGTACATTAAAGTGTAAGAGACTTTCATTCCTCATCTTTCTACTCAGTAAACAGGGGCAGTTCTCCCAACGAGTCAAGCGGAGAATTGGCATCATTATATTGCCTATTAAAAAAAAGAAGATCCCAGCTGGCGTGGTTCAGTGGTTGAGCTTCAGCCCATGAACCTGGTTCAATTCCTGATCAGGACACGCTGGGATTGCAGGCTAAATCCCCAGTAGGGGGCGTGCATGCACGTAGGCAGCCCATCTGTGATTCTCATCATTGATGTTTCTATATCTCTCTCCCCCTTCCAGTCTCTAAAATCAATAAAAATATTTATTTTAAAAAGAGAAGAGCCTACAAAAACATCCAGAAAAGCTTTTAAGTGATCCGTAGGATAGGAAATTGGGAATTATTGGTCCATTAGAAAGAAGACTAGCACATTTCGATCTTTCCGAGATTTCTGTGGGTCAACTAGCATTCCACTTAGAGGTCAAGACTCATGACTAAGAGCCAGCTTACTACAAGGATAGTCAGAGGTCACTTTGGTGTCACGGTGGGGACTTGTTAGGTTGATTATCTGGAATGATTCCCTAACAGCTCTCAGGTGCTCTCCTGGAAGTTGGGCTGCAAATCCAGGTAAGAGCTATAATTCTCCCTGTTTTTCTATACAATTGAAGATAAAAAAGTACATATTGATAAGAAATAATTTATTTCCCACACCAGTGATTTTCTCGTTCTGCTATCTCTTGGTTGGTTGGTACTTATTTTTCTAGTGGCCAGAGAGCTTATAATCAATGTCATTTGGGTCTAGGTTTGTGAAGTCACTGTTTTCTGATGTGAGCTGCTAAAAACAGGTGCCAGTTCAGAGAGAGTGTAAATATTATGGGCTGTTTGAGTGTAGCCCTTTCCCTGGGCACAGTCTGCAGGGTCAGGCCTTGGGAAGTCTCACGCGTTTGCTCTTTTCTGCAACTTGAAGTTGTAGTCCACGCGTGTTAAACTCACAGTGGGCTTGTTGTAGGCCTACAGTCTGTAGTCCTTCGTTGAGGGGGTTGAGGGCGACAGGGACCCCAGGGGGCGGGGGAGGGGCAGTTAAATTGGCCAGAATAAAGTTCCATGGACCAGCTTGTGGCAATAACCCTGTAGTATTCATTGCTAAGAGCTGCAGGGGGAGGAAGCATTCTTACCAGCACTACATCCCTAAAACTTTGCCACTGATCTGCCCCCAAACTGGTTATGCTTCACTTTCCATCGCTGTACTTGGCTCCAGCGAAGCATTTTGCGAGCCTTGCTTGCGACGGTTCAGATCTACCTCACCTTACGGAGAATGGCACTGCCAGACCGCTGTGAGCAGCGAGGGGAAGATGGCAAGACTGGTCCAGTCCCTGATTCCACCATTGGGCTTGGGGTGGGTGAGGGATGGCGGCGAGAGGATGAAGCCGCGTATCGAGAAATGGAGACCTGGAAAGAAATAGCTTGTTGATACTGAATTATCTAGTCTCTTTGGCCAGAACATTCTAGAAAAGAGGGCATCCGGGTGTCAGAAAATGACATGTGTGCTGCTAAAAAACAAAAAGTGGACTATTTGGACCTTCATGAAGCTTTGTAACTGATTCGGGAGGGAGGTGGGATAGAGGCACTATATTCACACCTAAGGATCTGCATTAGAAAACACTTAGCGATGTAGGATGAGGCACGACTGGAGAAAAGCTAGCCCCCTGCAAGTGTCTCACATGGAACTGTGCACTTGGCCCCTGCACACAACATGGTTCCCAGGCAGCACCCAGGTCATCGGTGCCAGTGTCCTCATTTTATACCAGAGAGCAATGTTCACCCTCAAAGGCATCCTGGCAAGAACTTAAAGTCATGGAGCCGCTGTGCCAACTTCTACCACTTTGACGGCCTCGGGCTCAGAAAAAGAAGGGCTGGGACAGGAGGCGGTGGAAATTGGTTGATTGGGGCCAGGGCAGTGGACGAGTCCCGAAGGCCCCGTGCCTGTCACATGGAAACAGCCGCTGCCCACAAGTCTTGGACTGCAGCTTCACTTCCAATGTCGCCCTTTTTTGGGGACCCGAATTACGGTACAAAGAGGAAACTGAGCTACAGAGAGGATGAGCGTGGGGACTCGACCTTGGACGCGCACAGCCTGTGTAACTGGATGCTTGGGTCACCTGGGGCTATCCAATCATGAGACTTTGTACTGCGTTTCTGAAGTTACTAATTTTGGGAGACAACCATCATCTGGAAACAAAGGAGAGGTGTTTACAAGAAGGGTCTGCAATGTTAACATCAAGAAAAATTTGAGCCGAAACGGGTTTGGTTCAATGGATAGAGCATCAGCCTGCAGACTGAAAGGTCCCGGGTTCAATTCTGGTCAAGGGCATGTACCTTGGTTGCAGGCACATCCCCAGTAGGGGGTGTGCAAGAGGCAGCTGATCGATGATTCTCTCTCATCGATGTTTCTAACTCCCTATTCCTCTCTCTGTAAAAAAATCAAAATATATTTTAAAAAAAGAAAAGAAAAATTTGTGATAGAATAGAAAGAGCAAGCCAACACCCCACCACCACCACCATACACACACACTCTGTGACAATTTCAAGTGTGTAGGTCGCTGCATAAGGGTATGAGGTGGGCAATTACCCATTTCTGTTGCCTTGGCTGCCACTGAGTTGCCAAGTGTTGGGCCCCAGAGCTGACACCAGCCGTGCGGTGTTTGCACAGGCATTTCTCGGAGCCACTGCCCCGCCGGTAAGTGAAGAGCAGCCAGGCCAGTCGCGCTGGGACGCAGCAGCCGGGAGGGTCTGTGTGCAGCGCAGGCGCCCGGCACACAAAACAGGAGCAGCACTCTGACGTCCATGGAATCCAGGAGGCCCGGCTGCGGCTCTCCTCTCCTGTCAACAGCCCCCAGCGCAGGCGGAGTTCGCGGTTTGCTTTGTGTCCTCGGGGCCTCTGCGCGGAGGTTGAGCTGGGCGGGATGTTGGAAGCATCTTCGTTCTGGATGTTGGGACGGAGAAGCTGGAACAGGTGCGGGCGCTTCCTGGAGGGGCCGCGGCCGCCAGGGGGCGCCGGGGGGGAGAGGGAGGGGCGGATAAATTAAATTTGCAGGAAAGAGATCTATTGGGGGGGAAATAAAGCCACAGGGGCTCCGAGCGGCCTCCCCGAATCCCCCTCCTCCCCAGGCAGCATGCGGTCCAGGGGAGGGATGTTTGCAAAGGTGAGTCTTCCGTTTCCCACGCTACTCCCACGTCCTCCCGCCAGTCTCTCCCCGCCCAGCTCGTGGGACCAGGCACTTGGCCCGGTGACCTGCGAGAGGACAGGGTCCCCGCGTCCCCACGCAGGCGAGTGCCTTGCGGGCCTGATCTCCTGCCGAGCGGCCTCGGGCTTCTCGGCCCACTGACCCCGCTCCTCCTCGCGGCTCCGGCCCAGCACCCCCTGCCTCCCCGCCCCCGCCCCCCCCCCCCCCCCCCCGCCCTGGGAAAGCGGTCATCCCAGGTACCGCGCCTTCCCTGCCGGCCCCGCACCCTGGGGAGCCCCAATGGTCCCGGGAAAACCTTTCCCCTCCTCCTCCTCCAGGCAGGCCGCTCGGGTTAGGCTCGGAGCCAGTTAGTCCGGGACCAGTGCTCTGCGATTTACGGTGTGGGGGTGTGAGTGGTCCCTGGACACCGAGGGATCCCCAAACCTCCCTTCCTCCCATCCTTCTGCCCCCCGCCCCGCGGAGAGATGGAGTCTCCCCCGCCCCCGGCCGCGGTGAGCGCCGGGCTTACCGCGCCCGCCCCGCGCGGACCAGGTCAAAGCCACCGGGTCCCGGGGCAGCTCCTCCGGGAGGGTCACCCGGCGCCCCGCCCGCCCGGCAGGACAGCGACCTCCCCGCCCCTCCAGCGCCCCGCCCCCTGTCCCCGCCGGTCCCCACCCGGCCACCGGCCTCGCCACACTCCAGCCGGCGCTGCCCTGTGTCCGCGTCCGGCTCCCGAGCCCGCTCCTCCGGCCGCCCGCCCGCCCCGCCGCCCCGCACCTGCCGGTCCCCGCGGCTGGCCGTCCCGCGGCCTCGGCACCTGGCGGCCCCTGCGTCCCAGAGCCAGCAGCGCCCCTGCCCGTCGGGGCCAGGGAAGGCCATGGTGTCGCCGCCGCCCGGGCTCCCAGCGAGCAGCCTGCTGCAGGTTCTGCTCCTGGGGCTGAGCGCCTTGGGTAAGTTAAGCCCCAGAACCAGGAGGGGGCTTGGGTGGGAGATGGGGGGACTCCCTCTGACCCAGAGGGAGCTGGCTTGGGGGCCTGGTGAGGAACCGGGTGGGACCAGACTCCCGCCTGGGACTCTTACCCTCTCCCCAGCCAGGGCATCCCGGCTGCTACTGGCCCCATCCCTGCGGGTTGGGGACAGCTCCCGCTTCCCCGTCCCCCAGGTGTGTGTGTGGTGGGGGCGAGAGAGAGGGCCAGGGCATCCCCAGGGGAGACCTCTGGGGTGAGTTAGCGGAACCATTCCCCCCCTCTTCCCCCCCCCCCCCCAAGCAGAGCCGGATGAGCCGAGCTGCTAGATGAGATACTGGCTAAAGAGCTTAAGGACTTAACTCCAGCTCCACTCCTGCCCCCTCCCCACACCTCCCCCCCAAACCCCGGGAAATTCCCTGGTACTGGGCTTGATACCCCACTTCACGTCACTCCATCTGCCCCCTCCTCCCGCTTCCTGCCCTAGGAATCAAGGGAGGTGCCCCCAATGCACAACCGTGAGGTCATTTGAGATACAGGAAGTGGGGGAGGGAGGGGCCTGGGTGCCTAGAGGAGTGGAATGGTGACCCCCCCACCCCCACCCCCACCCCCAGAGGTCCACCACCGTCCATGGTCCCCAGGGTCAAGGGGACATAGGAAAGAGAGAGGGGGCCTCAAAGAGTCAGAGAGGGAGGCCGCCTCCCCAGAGCAAGTGCTTTGAGTGGCGATAGAAGCTTCCAGGGTTGTCCAGGAGCTCAAGGTGGCCCAACTGGGGAGAGAAGGACGAGGAAGGAACTAAGCCCGGTCCATGCCACCTCCCAGACTTTCTTGCCATTCCTCCCCAGGGGGGGGGTGAAGCGTGAGCTAGGCGAGGCCATCTTGAACTCATTTCTCTCTTTGGTGGCAAGTCCAGGGCAAGCAAGGCTAGGGAGGGTACAGAGCGAAATCCAGCGGTGATGGGGCCTGCACCGGACCCACCACACCCTCCCGTGTGTCCCCTTTCGCCTGGTCCATGCCGCCCATGTTGGTGCAGGAAGGAGAGCCCCAGACCGAGGGGGGCTCAGAAGCAGCTCCCCAGCCACCAAATCTGGGCGGCTTCCTGCCCCTTGAGCTTGGTGGGCCTGGTCCAGGGGGCCTCCATGTCTCAGCTCCCCCCCACCTCCCATTTCAACCTCAGCACCTCTTTTCCTTCTGCACTCTCCACCCCTATTTACCACCACCCCCATCCTCCTTCTTGCTGGGGGGTGTCTGAAACAAGGAGGGGGAAAACACCAGTTGGCTGCCTGGGTATCTCCCCAGCTTTCCTGGTCGTCTCTGTGTGTGTGTGTGTGTGTGTGTGTGTGTGTGTTAACTTTGACCTCCAGTTTTCACAGTGACAGCCCAAACTCAAAGACCCTACCTGTTGGCGGAGTTCCCCGGCTCTGCAAGGGTTAAATGGTGCCGGGGACCCAGGCTCAGGGCCGGCACTCGGGCTCTCCCTTTCCCCAAGGCCCTCGCTGTCTGGGCTCCTCCGTGGCCCGGCGCTGCTGCCCCTGGGGCGTGAGAAGCCCGAGGGGGGAGTTTCTCAGAGAAAGAGGGAGACTAAAAATAGTCGCCCTGGAGAGCAGGCCCGTGCTCAGTCTTCCAAGGCTTTTGCTCTGGGGAGTGGGCCGGAGGGTCCTTTCCTTGGGCTGTTCGGGTCTCCTTTGCTCAAACCCAGCCACCCCCTTGTCTTTGGACGACACGGTGGACCCTAGAGCGAGAAGGGACCTCTGCTTCAGCGGACACCCAGCAGGGGGGAGGCAGAAGCCTCGGTAGGGCCTCTGCAGCTCCCGGTTTCAGACGGACCGATAAGAAAGGGCGCCTTTGCCCAGAAGTGTCTCCATGGCCATCATCGTCACCCCCTCCGCCTCTGGCAAAAGGAAATCCACTTGGGATCTGAGGGTGCAGCGTGCCGTTTGTAGGAACTGCCTGGCCTCTGGGAGCAGGCAGACGTGCCGGGAGAGGCCGCCCGCCCCTGGAGGGGGTGTCCCGGGGGGGCCTCGGGCTCCTTGAGGCAGTGGTTGTTTCCAGCTGTGGAACCTCTGGCCTAGCTTCCCCCCTCCTCCTGCTCCCCCTTCCCCCCCCCCCCACCTCCCTCATTGTCTTCTAGCTTATCACCGGGCACAAGTTTCCTGCCCGGGTCTGCCGGGACCTCGCCAGGAAATGGGAAGGAGGCTACTGAGGAGGCTAAGGACTAGGTGTGGGGGCTCCTCAGGGCCGCGGCCGGAAGCGGTGGGGGTGGCGCGCATCCTGGCCGGGCGTGCTCCTGGCCTGAGAGGAGGGCGAAGAGCCAGCCCAGCCAGGCTGCATGCGGCCTCTGTCCGTGCCTGGGCCGCCTGGTCACCCTGCAGAGGCCACGGTGGTGCAGCAGGCCTCCACCCGCCAGGATCCTCAGGCCTGCTGGATGGGATCCCCAGGGTGTTCCCCCCAATGGCTTAGGACTCTGCCCATCACCTCTCCGAAGGGCAAAAAGGGAGCGTTTCTAGGTGCATCGATCCACCCGCTTAGTCCCCTCCCTGAAACCCACCCCCCAGTCCACCTCCTGGGCCCGCACACAGGCAGCCACAACTTCGCACTAGATTGTTGGGGACCTTCATTCGGGCCCCAGCTCTACCGACATGCCCTGTGGCCTCAGAGGTCCCGCCCTGATCGCCTGAACCCCAAAAGGGCCCGTGGGAGCCTTCTGGGTCCCAGCTCTCCTCTCTCCCGGGGAGCGCACCTGTCGGGGCGAGGAGGGCGGGAGGGACAGGGGAGGGAGTGCAGCAGTCGACGGCCGGGCGGCTCCGCTCTCTGCCCGAGGCTGCTCATCCGGAGCCGCGGCTCCCAGTGGCCTCCCAGCCCCTCCACCCCTGGGGCAGGAACACTCCGATCCCGACCTGCCCCGTCGCTCCCTCCACCCCCACCCCCTCCCGCCTGGGAGGCTGCGGGAGCAAGCGGGCTACGCAGAATAGACATCAACACTATTAAATCCGCCCTTCCTCTTGGGTGTCTTCCCCTCCTCTCCGCTGGAAATCCTGCGCCTCTGGATACAAATTAACGGCCCATAATTGTGTCCTCCTCCTCCTCCTCCTCCTCCTCCTCCTCCTCCTCCTCCTCCTCCTCCACGCTCCACGCCCAGAAGCTGAGATTTCAGGGAATTGGCGCTGGGGTGGGGGTGGGGGGGACGACGACGACGACGACGATGACACTGATGATGCTGGAGGCAGGCCCTGGGTTCCCGCCTCCCGGTAGAGGGGGGTCCCGAGCGCCTCCTGGGACAGGACTTTTTTTTACTTTATTTATTGATTTTCTACAGAGAGGAAGGGAGAGGGATAGAGAGCCAAACATGAATGAGAGAGAAACATCGATCAGCTGCCTCTTGCACTCCCTTACTGGGGATGTGCCCACAACCAAGGTACCTGCCCCTGACCGGAATCGAACCTGGGACCCTTCAGTCCGCAGGCCGACGCTCCATCCACTGAGCCAAACCGGTTTCGGCCTGGGACAGGACTCTTGTGGTCCTTCGTAATGGCGGGGCTTCCTGCACACACGCACACACACGCGCGCACACACATACACGCACACACACGCACGCGCACACACACGCACACACGCATGCACATGCACACGCACACCGCCCCGGCCCCGCCAGGATCGGCAGTCGGAGCTCACGCTCCCTCGCTCTCCTCCCCAGCGCCCGCCTCCGGAGCCCAGTTCCAGCTGCACGTGCCCTCGGGGCTGGACCAGGTGCACGCCATGGAGGGCGAGGAGGTGGTGCTGCCCGCCTGGTACACCTTCCAGGGCGAGGCGGCCACGGCCCGGCCCTGGGAGACCCTCACCCTGATGTGGTTCCTGGAGCAGGAAGGGAAGGACCTGAAGCAGGTGAGGCTGGAGGCCCTCCCTCCGCTTCGCCCAGTGGGGGCGGAGGGCGCTGAAGGGGGAGGCGGGGAGGGGCGGAGCCAGGGAAAGGGGCACGGAAAAAGTTTGGGGAGGAGGGGGGGGAAAGCAAGGTCTTCCTCACCGGTTTAATTTTGTTCCGATCTTGGAGGCGTCCCAAAAGGATTCTCTTTCCTCCAACTTTCCCCAGAAATCTGGCCCCAAACCCTGCAAGGTGAAGAGGCATCTTACTTTGCTATGGGGCTGGGGATTGGGGGTGGAGGTTAGGGAAGAGTTAGGGCGAGGATCACACAACTTATTTTTTATTTTTATTTTAATTTTTGAATATATTTTTGTTGATTTCAAAGAGAAAGGGAGAGGGAGGGAGAGATAGAAACATCCGTGATGAGAGAGAATCACTGATGGGCTGCCTCCTGCACGCCCCCTACTGGGGATGGAGCTTGCAACCTGGGCATGTGCCCTGACCCAGGAATCCAACCGGTGACCTGTTGGGTTCCTGGGTTGACGCTCAACCGCTGAGCCACACCCGGCTGGGCACACAACTTATTTTGTAAATATAAATTTTTATTGATTTTAGAGAAGATGGGAGAGGAGAGATAGGAACATCCATGAAGAGTTAGAATCACTGATGGGCGGCCGCCTGCACGCTCCACTCTGGGGATCGAGCCCACAGCTTGGGCAGGCGCCCTGACCAGAATCCAACCGTGACCTCCCGGTTTATAGGTCAATGATCAACCACTGAGCCACACCCACCGGGCCCGCCGGGCCTCACACAACTTTTTAAAAGTTGCCTACCAGCCTGTTTTCACAGTCACAGGCTGCTGCCTCTTCTGCCCACCCTGAGTGGCAAGGGCCAGTCTCCCCCCACCGCCCTCCTGGCCTCCCCTGGCCTCACAGCGTGGGCAGAGGCAGACTGGCCCAGGGCCAAGGACACCTCCCTGGCAGAGCCCCTCGCTGGCATGGCTCCTTCGGAAGCCCTAGGTCACAGGGGTCCTCAAACTTTTTAAAGTGGGGGCCAGATCACGGTCCCTCAGAGAGCTGGAGGGCCGGACTATATGAACTACTAATTCCTACTGTAACACCTCGGCTGCGCTCACTGCCCAAAAAACCTGGCGGGCCGGATCAGACTCCTCTGCGGGCCGCATGTGGCCCGCGGGCCGTAGTTTGAAGACCCCTGCAGGCTAGGACGTGTCTTCCAGAGGCCGTTTCGTAAACAGGGCCATGCATGAAAGACACTGAGGCTGCAGGGCTCCATCCTGGTTTCACGGGGCCTGGACGTGTGCATTTGCTTCCTTTCAGACATCACCCCTGTGTACATGATCTCTCACCCATTCTCTTAAAAATATATTTTATTGATTTTTTTTTTTTTACAGAGAGGAAGAGAGAGGGACAGAGAGCTAGAACCATCGATGAGAGAGAAACATCCATCAGCTGCCCCCTGCACACCCCCCACCGGGGATGTGCCCGCAACCAATGCACATGTCCTTGACTGGAATCGAACCTAGGACACTTCCCCCTCTTCCCCGCCCCACCCCCAACCCCCCACCAGTCCTCAGGCCTACGCTCTATCCACTGAGCCAAACCGGTTTCGGCTCTCTCGCCCATTTCACCCCTTTCCAAACACCCCAAGTGGGAGACGGAGACCATAGACCGGGCATCAAGAGCCATCCTGGTGCAGAGGACCTGGGGCGGGTGGTGAGAGGGTGGCGGGGGAGAAGGGGAGGATGGGGAGCTGGCCCAGGTGAGAGGGGACCATGCAGGGGAGGAGCGTCTGAGGTGTGACGGGTTGGGGGAGGGAGGTTGGCGGAGCCGGAGGGCACGGTGCGGGCATGCGATAACGGGCAGGGTCATGCCCACACCAGGTGCTGGCGCACATCAGTGGGGTCACCACCAACCAGGATGGAGCGTCCCTGGTGTACCCCATGCCCTCCCGGAACGTGTCCCTGCGGCTCCAGCGCCTCCGGGAGAAAGACTCCGGGTCCTACCGCTGCTCCGTGAACGTGCAGGACAAGCAAGGCACCAGCCGGGGCCACAGCAGCAAAACGTTAAAGCTCGACGTGTGGGGTGAGCAGGCTCTCCAGGACCTCCCCGCCCCCACAGGAGGGCAGGCAGGTCTCCCTCCCACACCGCTGAGTGCGCAGGTTGGAGGAGGGTGCGGTGGGGTGACCACAGGGTCTGTGTGTAGAAGTTGGTGTGTGTGGGTGTAGGTGGGTGTCCGTCGGTCTCTTGGGTGTGAGTTTTAACTTGTCCCTCCTCCCCCAGTTCCTCCAGCTCCTCCATCCTGCCATCTCCTGGGCACGCCCCGTGTGGGGACCAACGTGACCTTGAGCTGCAAGTCCCCGAGGAGTAAGCCTGCTGCCCTGTACCAGTGGGAGCGGTCACACCCATCTGTTGAGGTTTTCTTTGCACCAGTTTTAGGTGAGAGACTTCTGGAGACAACAGGGGCTGGGGCTGGGGCTGGGGCTGGGGAAAGATGAGGTGCCAGAGGAACTGGGGTGAAGAGGGAAAGCAGAGCTGCAAAGTACTGGGGAGGAGGGGGGTGTGGGCAGTGGTGGAGACAGAGGGCTACCAGGTGCAGCTTGTGTTGGGTGCTTTCATGTATAACTAAGCTACTAAGGAAGCTCTGGAGCTCTGCTGCTCACTAGCATTTTAAAATATATATATATTTTATTGATTTTTTACAGAGAGAGGGATAGAAAGCTAGAAACATTGATGAGAGAGAAACATCGATCAGCTGCCTCTTGCATACCCCCTACTGGGGATGTGCCTGCAACCAAGGTACATGCCCTTGACCGGAATCGAACCTGGGACCTTTCCGTCCACAGGCCGATGCTCTATCTACTGAGACAAACCGGTTTCGGCTCCTCATTTTTTAAAAAAATATATATTTTTATTGATTTCAGGGTGGAAGGGAGAAAGAGAGAGATAAAAACATCGAGGATGAGAGAGAATCGTTGATCGGCTGCCTCCTGCATGCCCCACGCTGGGGATCGAGCCCACAATCAGGCGTGTGCTGTGACCTCCTGGTTCATAGCTCCACACTCAGCCACTGAGCACACATTGGGCTGGGCTGGTTATCATTTATTTCTTTAAAAAAAAAAAAAAGATGAAGGAGCTTGAGTTTTATTATTTTTTAAATATTTTTATTGATTTTACAGAGAGAGAGAGAGTTAGAAACATCAAGGTACACGCCCTTGACCGGAATTGAACCTGGGACCTTTCAGTCCCAGGCCGTCGCTCTATCCACTGAGCCAAACCGGTTAGGGCTGGTTATCATTCCTTTAGCCTCCTTTCAGAATCAGTTGGGGACACTGAGCCTTGGGAATGGAGAGGAATATTGAGGCAGCAGAACCCAGTGTGCTTACTGTCACACCTCCCTCCCTTCCCCCTCCCCCCCACGCCAAAAAGAACATTCCAGAGGAAGGGTAGGATTTTTCTTCTTTTTTTTTTTAATGGGAAATAGGGTCCCTGCCTGATGGCTCCCTTGTGCCCACAGATGCCATATCTGGCTTCCTCAGCCTCCGAAACCTTTCCAGCTCTATGTCCGGCGTCTACGTCTGCAAGGCCACCAACAGGGTGGGCAGCGCCAGCTGCAACGTGACCCTGGAAGTGAGCTCAGGTCAGTGAGGGGTAAGTGGGGTTACGGAGAAGCCTGCTCAGTGGTCCGGTGGGGTTGCAGTAGAGGGGGGATGGGGAGACTTGTCTACCGAGGCCTCTCCTTGTAACAGGGCAACACATTTGTTCTGATCAAACGCTTGTCCAAATATTTGGCCAGTGACCATTTTCTGCTTGGCAGCCGCCTCTTCTTAACAGAGACGAAGGCCAGTGTGGATGCTGGCCGTGGGGTCGCTGCCTTGGAGAGGGCTGGGGGACAGCTGGATGTTGCCTTCTGACACCCCGGTTTTTCCAGGGCCTGGGGCTGCCGTGGTTGCTGGAGCTGTGGTGGGCACCCTGGTTGGCTTGGGGCTGCTAGCCGGACTGGTCCTCTTGTACCAACGCCAGGGCAAGGCCCCAGAGGAGGTGGCCAATGACATCAAGTAAGTGCCCAGACGGGGCTCTCCTAGCTCCCTAATTGGCAGTAGCCACCAGGGAGGCTGGGCATTTAGACAGCTCGCTTCTGATGGAAGCTCGGGCCATGGCTGAAGCTTCACTCCTATGGGTAAGGTGACCAGACGTCCCGATTTTTAACAATTTGTCCCGCAGTGTTTTAAAAAAGTCCCGATTCTTGCCGAAACCGGTTTGGCTCAGTGGATAGAGTGTCAGCCTGTGGACTGAGAGGTCCCGGGTTCGATTCCAGTCAAGGGCATGTGCCTCAGTTGCGGGCACATCCCCAGTAGGGGGTGTGCAGGAGGCAGCTGACCGATGTCTCTCTCTCTCATCGATGTTTCTAACTCTCTATCCCTCTCCCTTCCTCTCTGTAAAAAAAACAATAAGATATATATATTTTTTTAAAAGTCCCGATTCTTTCCAAAAATCGGGACTTTTTTAAAGCACCGTGGGACTCGGGACAAATCGTTAAAAATCGGGACATCTGGTCACCTTACCTATGGGTAGATTTTAAGGGCAAGGAGAGTTGACGCGGGGGAGGGGGAGCGTGAGACAAGGCGTGGAGACACCCCCTTGCTCCCCGTTTCCGACCTCACTGCTTCTCTGGTGACCAGGGAAGATGCTGCTGCGCCTCGGACCCTGCCCTGGCCCAAGGGCTCAGACACCATCTCCAAGAACGGGACGCTGTCCTCCGTCACCTCGTCACCAGCCCTCAGACCGCCCCACCGCCCCTCCAGGCTCGGTGCCTCCACCGCCTCGACCCCCATGACCCCCACGCGCAGCCACGGCTGGGTCTCGCCCTCTGCCCTGAGTCGCAAGGGCGCTGTCCCCGTGATGGTGCCCGCCCAGAACCAGGCTGGGTCTCTGGTGTGACGGCCCCGCCATGTGTGGGCAGAGCCATCTGGATTCTCTCCTTCCTGTAGTCCTTACTATGGAGGTTCCCCCAGCATAAAGGCCTGAGTCTGGGGGTTGGGGGGGGGGATGGACCCCTTCTAGATCTCCAGTCCTCTGCACCCACCTTTCTTGACTATGGGAAAACGGGGTCTTCGTTAAGACTCGAACTTCCAGGAGGTAGAAGAAGAAGAGGAAGCGGACTTGGGGTTGGTTGGGAAGAGCCTTAACCCCCTCCTGGGGCCCCCCTAATACAGCAGAGGGATGCTGCTGAGACTGGTTAACCCAGCCCTGGTGGAGACTGCCCATCAGTGAGTCCTCCCGGCCGCCCCCTTGACCTCTATCCCACCCCCCGTCTAACACCACCCTCCACCCCCGCTCCAGCTCCCTGCATTCGTATCCCCCGTCCTGCTGGCCTGGTTGGGTTTTGCTGGGCCAGGGGACAGGGCAGATATTTGTTAAACTAACTTGAAATGTGTGTTTTAAGATGTGTTTTGTTTTTTTATTTTTATTTTACAAACCTCAATAAAGATATATTGAATCGAATCCCCTCTTTCAATTTGGGATTCCCGGGAGAAGTTGGGGATGGTGCCAAGAGGACCCCTTACCCAGGCCGTGTACATAGGCCGGCTTCTCCCCACAGCCTCCACCGGCTGGCTGGGGAAAGCTCGTGTAAAGCCTTTATTTTTATTTTATTTTTTATTTTTTAAAAATATATATATTTTATTGATTTTTTACAGAGAGGAAGAGAGAGGGATAGAGAGTTAGAAACATTGATGAGAGAGAATCATCAATCAGCTGCCTCTTGCACACCCCCTACTGGGGATGTGCCCGCAACCAAGGTACATGCCCTTGACCGGAATCGAACCTGGGACCTTTCAGTCCCCAGGCCGACGCTCTGTCCCCTGAGCCAAACCGGTTTCAGCTAAAGCCTTTATTTTTTGTGACTCCTCACCTGAGGATAGTTTTCCATTTAATTTTTTTAGGGAGTGGGAAGGAGGGGAACGAGAGCCAAACATCGATGTGAGTGAGAGAGGCATGGATGAGTTGGTTGCCTCCTGCGCACCAGCCCTGACCAGGGATCTGGACACCGAAGTACCACGCCCTTGTCTGGAATCTAACCCGGGGCCTTTTGGTCCCCAGGCCAAGGCTCTATCCACTCAGCCAAACCGGCACGGCCTCTTCCAGGTCAGTTAAAGGTCATTTGCTGCTGGGTGCCATGGGAGAGAGTAGCAAGGGAATGAAAGGGGTGCACTTTCTGCAGGAGCCTGGGTGCCGAGTTTTTTTTTTCGGGGGGGGGGGGCTTTTAACCTCTTGCTTCCTCTTCAAGGGCAGAGAAGGGGCTCCCCGATGCCAGACCACCGAACCCTTAACACACACACACTCCTCCACGTCTCAGCCTCCTGCCCATAAAAAGGAGTGGCTATGGCCCTGGCCGGCTTGGCTCAGTGGATAGAGCATCGGCCTGTGGACTGAAAGGTCCCAGGTTCTATTCTGGTCGAGGGCATGTATAATACCTTGGTTGCCCGCGCATGCCCGGTGGGGAGTGTGCAGGAGGCAGCTGATTCGTGTTTTCTAACTCTCTATCCTTCTCCCTTCCTCTCTGTAAAAAATCAATAATATATATATATATATATATATTTAAAAAGTAACTATGGAGGTGGGAGGCAGCTATTGTTTCCATGGAGACTCGCATCCACCAGTGATAAAAGTGCCCCAGAAGGGATCTCGCAGAAGAGGAGGGGCTTGGCCGAAACCGGTTTGGCTCAATGGATAGAGCATCGACCTGCAACCTGAAGGGTCCCGGGTTCGATTCCGGTCAAGGGCATGTACCTTGGTTGCGGGCACATCCCCAGTAGGAGGTGTGCAAGAGGCAGCTGATCGATGTTTCTCTCTCATTGATGTTTCTAACCAACCCTCTCTTCTCTGTAAAAAAATCAGTAATATATATATATTTTTTAAATTTTTTTTTAAGAGGAGGGGCTTGGAAGGAACTGGAATCTCTCAGGGCATCGGAAAGGGTCTCTGGGGTGAAGCCCCAACGCGGTGCTGTCTGCAGCCTGCTTCCAAGCCGTCAGACCACCTACCACCTACCTCTGTCTGCGGGGCAGCGTGTCCCTGCAGAGCTGCAGTGCCAACCCCTGCCCTTCAGACGGCCACCCCACACCCCTGTCCGGTCTGTTCCCCAGGGCCCCCAGCTTCAGACATTGGGGAGAGGAGGACAGGAGGAGGACTGTGCCTGGAGGAGGGCGAGGCGTTCCCTCCGCGAGGGCGCCGGCCTCGCCCCTTGTTTGCTCTGCGATAGCCAGTCCGGGCCCGACTGGCGCGCAGGTTGCCCCGCGGGCACCGCCTTCCCTCCTGCACCCGGGACACCGGACCCAGGACGACGGCAGGCAGGACTCGCCATGGCCCTGCTCCCGGGGCCCCTGCTGTGCGGGGCGCTGCTGGGCTGGGTCTGCCTGGCGGGTGAGCAGGAGCCGCGCGGGGGGGGGGGGGGGGGGGGGGGGGGGGGGCGGGGGGGGGGGGGGGGGGGGTTGGGGGGGGGGGGGGGGGCAGGATTGGGGCGCTCCAGGCGGCCAGCGAGCTGGGCCTCCCTGGGAGGGAAGGGAGGGCTGAGCCACGGGGCAGAACCATTGTTTTCCTCTCCCCGGACAAACACACCCTCCTACCTGGCCAGGCTGGTCCTTTCACCCACAAAACGCAGCCACCGCGACGTGCGCTCCTCCCTCCGAAACTTTGGGTTTCGAGAAGGGAAAGGTAGGGGGGGCCTCTAGCCTCCTCGTGGAAGACCCACGGGTGGGCCGAGCTCCAGACCCTCCTCCCTCACCCCCGAGATTGGGAGTCCGGCCCCTCGACCCCTCCCCGGAGGCCTCCGGCTGCCTTCTGAGCGCCCCCCTGTGCGCCCCCAGCCCCAGGGCGCGCGGTGGAGGTGCAGGTGCCCGCGGAGCCCCTGAGCGCCCCGAAGGGCAGGACGGCCGAGTTGACCTGCACCTACAGCACCTCCGTGACCGACAGCTTCGCCCTGGAGTGGAGCTTCGTGCAGCCCGGGAAGCCCCTCTCTGCGTCCATGCCTGTGAGCTGGGGGTGTGGGTGGGGGAGGAAGGGGCCACGGGGCGGCTCTGGCCTGTGGCTGGGCAGGCTCTGCGGTGAGGCAGGACCTGGGAGCCCACCCAGGCTGAGGGCAGAGAGGGTGCGTGGATGAGAAAGGTCAGTGTGCTTGGGTGACAAAAGCAGTGGACTCTCCCTAGATTAAGGTGACCAGATCGTCCAGGTGTTGGCGGGACAGTCCTGATTTCTAACAATTTTTCCCGCGTCCCGTGGCGTTTTAAAACAGTCCCGATTTTTGGAAAGATTGGAAACATTGGAAAGATTCTTTCCAAAACTCGGGACTTTATGCCACGGACACGGGAAAAATTGTTAAAAATCAGGACTGTCCTGCCAACACCTTGACGATCTGGTCACCTTACCCTAGATCTTCTGAGGATAGCAATCTGGGTACCCCCAGGTCCCATGCACAGCTTCTCTAGCCACCTACCTATCCCCCAGCGCCCTACGCCAGGGGTCGGCAAACTGCAGCTCGGGAGCCACAGGCGGCTCTTTGGCCCCTTGAGTTTTTAGCAAAGGCCAGCTTAGGAGTACCCTAAATTAAGCTCATAGCAATGTACCTACCTATATAGTTTAAGCTTAAAAAAAAAAAATGTGGCCCTCCAAAGAAATGTCAATCGTTGTCCTGTTGATATTGGGCTCTGTGGGCTAATGCGTGTGCCCACCGCTGCCCTATGCAGCCCCCCGCGTCCGTCCGTGCAGGCCCAGCTGCCGTTAATACAAGCTAGTGAGGGGCGCTCAGCTGTTGTGACTGAAAGCAGGATAAAATGCTGCCCTTTCCACGAACATGTGTATTGTGGAGAGCCATCCTTAGTTGGAAGCAACGAATATAGTTCATTTCCCACTTGGGAAGGGCTGGTATTTGGGGAGATAGACCTTCCTGGTTCCGGCTATGATGTCAGCTTCCCCGGCTGTGGGGAGGGAAGGGCCCTGGGAGAAGGAACGGCAGAGTGGATGCCAGCCAGGAAAAGGAGCCCCCGTGCGTGTGCCCTCTGCTTCTCCCCAGATCCTGTACTTCACCGGCGGGCAGCTGTACCCCACCGGGTCTAAGGCGAAGCGGGCCAGCCTGCTTCAGAACCCCCCCACGAGGGGCGTGGCCACCCTGAAACTGGCCGACGTCCACCCCTCAGACACCGGGACCTACCTCTGCCAAGTCAACAACCCACCCGATTTCCACACCAACGGCCTGGGGCTGGTCAACCTCACGGTGCTGGGTAAGTGCTGGGCCCTGAAAGGCCACACAGCCTGAAAGGCTAATGCGGGCCCTGATGGCCCCCCCATATCCTGATTTCCAGCCCAAGCACACGGCTGCACTGGGGACCCTGGGGGGGGGGGGGAAGGAGGGGGAGAAAGCCCTCCTTCCTGGAGCCTTCTGATCCAGCCAGTCCTGCTCCTGCCCCACCATGCACAGGGCGATCCTCCTCCCTCAGGCCCTAGTAACAAAGGTCCCGCATACACGGTCTGAGTCGGGCCCCCAACCCGCTCCATCTTTCGGGAGGTTCAGATTCGGGAACCTCCCCAGGGCAGTGGTAGAGGTGGGGAGGAGGGTGACCCTTAAAGGAACAAGGGCCTCTACCCACTAAGCACCAATTTTGTGTTCGGAGCTTCCATCTCACCCCAGAGTGGAGCAAGCAGGAGAGTCTACTAAAGGCGCTGGGGATGTGTAGATGGAAAAGAGACCCCTTAGGACAGCGGTTCTCAACCTGTGGGTCTCAACCCCTTTGGGGTGGGGGGGGTCGAATGACCCTTTCACAGGGGTCGCCTAAGACCATCGGAAAACACGGACATGTACCGTACGATTCATTAACCGTAGCAAAACTACAGTGATGAAGTAGCGGCGAAAATAACTTTATGGCCAAAACCGGTTTGGCTCCATGGATAGAGCGTCGGCCTGTGGACTGAGGGGTCCCGGGTTCGATTCTGGTGGGGGGCATGCACATTGGTTGTGGACACGTCCCCAGTGGGGAGTGTGCGGGGGGGGGGGGGCAGCTGGTCGATGTTTCTCTCTCATCGATGTTTCTAGCTCTCTATCCCTCTCCCTTCCTCTCTGTAAAATATATATATATATATATATATATATATATATATATATATATATATATATATATTTAAAAAATAAAAATAAAAAATAAAAAATAGTTTTATGGTCGGGGTCACCACAACATGAGGAACTGTACTAAAGGGCCGCGGCATTACGGTAGGAAGGTTGAGAACCACTGACTTAGGAGGTGGCAAATGGCAGCTGCACTCAGAAATCTGTCCTGTGGGCCCAGAGGGCAGGAATTGGACCAATGGGGAGATATGCACTTAGATTTGGGCACAACACGAAGATTTTTCTAGCAATCAGAATTTCCAAGTCCTATCCTGGGGGCGCAGACACGGGACCCTGTCCGCCAGATTTCCACACCGAAAGTGGACGCTGTTTGGTAGGAGTATTGAACGAGGAAACCCAGCATTTGTTGAGGGGGCATCGGAAGAAGACTGAGGTTCTTTCTGTGATCTTTGCAGCGGCCCCCAGCGACCCCCGGTGCAGCCAGACTGGTGACATGTCTGTGGGGGGCTCTGCTGCCCTGAGCTGCAGTTCCTCCGAAGGATTGCCCAGGCCCGTGTACAACTGGGCCCGCCTTGGATCTCTCCCGACGCCTCCTCCTGGCAGCATGGTGCAAGGTAAGGGCCCGGGCGTCAAGGAAGTGGGCACTCAGGACCCGGGCAAACCTGGTCTCTAAACCCCACACCCCCACTGCACCAGCTCCAGGCCTGTGTGTCTGAGCCAAACGCTATACCTTCTCTCTGCATCTTTCTCGGTTCCTGTCTTGGTCCCTCCTACCTGTCTCCCTGCACAGTCTGGGTCTGCGCGATCCTGGAAGCATTTCTCACGCCCCATGGACTCCTGATGTTATGGAAGAGCGCGGAAGGCATGGGGGCATTCTGTGATTCCCACTTGTCTGTTTGGGAGCGGTTTCTTGGAGATTTTCGAAACGGAGGCAGAGTCGCATGGACTGTCTTGATCATGTATTGTAGCTGGTTTCTCTGGAGAACCTTGCAACTGGCTCAGAGCTTTGGCTTCCCAGCCTCCGCATGCTCGCTCCGGTGCCCTCTCTCTTCTCAGCCCCAGCCCACCCTCTCTCAAGCCAGAGGGCCCAGATCACCTCCTGGCGTGTGTGCTCTGCCTTCTAAAGGAAGGTTAGCTCTAGCTGGTTTGGCTCAATGGATAGGGCATCGGCCTTGTGGACTGAAAGGTCCGGGGTTTGATTCTGGTTGAGGGCACATGCCTGGGTTGCAGGTTCAATCCCCAGTAGGGGGCGTGCAGGAGGCCGCCAATGAATGGTGCTCTCTCGTCATTGATGTTCCTAGCTCTCTCCCCCTCTCCCTTCCTCTCTGAAATCAATAATATATATATATATATATATATATATATATATATATATATATATATATATAATTTTTTTTTAAAAGGTGGGAAAGGGCCAAAGCCGATTTGGCTCAGTGGTAGAGCGTCGGTCTGCGGACTGAGGGGTCCCGGGTTTGATTCCGGTCAAGGACATGTGCATTGGATGTGGGCACATCCCCGGTAGGGGGTGTGCAAGAGGCAGCTGGTCGATGTTTCTCTCTCATCGACATTTCTAGCTCTCTCTCTCTCTCCCTTCCTCTCTGTAAAAAAAAAAAAAAAAAAAAGTGGGAAAGGTAAGCAGCTTAGAAAACCACTTGGTCCAGCTTAGAGCCATCTCAGAGGTTACAGTTTCTAGCGATGAAGTTTTCCCCCCTCTGCAACCAGGAACCTGACATCAGCCGGCAAGCACCCACCCCGATTCCATTGCCAGTTTCTGAGCCCTCCATGCAGGCGCCCCCCGCCCCCGCAGAAGGCAGCTGTGTAGGGTGGAAAATGCGCAGAAGCTGCAGTGGCTTTGGCGTTTATGCGTTAGGAAGGGACTGACTAATAACCCGAGGCAAGTCCCCTTCCTGACAGGATGACATGAAAAACGCTTTCGTCACAGAGGGCGCTCCCCGGGAGCCCGGTGATGGAACACTTGCTTCCTCTTTGCTCTCTCTAGATGAGGTGTCCGGCCAGCTCGTGCTCACCAACCTCTCCCGGGCCTCCTCGGGCACCTACCGCTGTGTGGCCTCCAACCAGATGGGCAGTGCCTCCTGCGAACTGACCTTGTCTGTGACCGGTAGGGATGCTGGGCAGAGGCCAGGCGGGCAGGCCCGGGCTGCAGGGAGAGGGTCTGAGGGTCGTGTGTGTGTGTGTGTGTGTGGTGTGTCCGCAGACCCTTCCAAAGGCCGCATGGCCGGGGCGGTGATTGGAGTGCTCCTGGCCGTGCTGGCCCTGTCGGTCGCCGTGTTCTGCTTCATGAGGTTCCAGAAGGAGAGGAGGAAGAGGCCTAAGGAGACGTACGGGGGCAGTGACCTTCGGTGAGCGGAAGGGCGGGTAGTGCAGTGGGCGGACAGGGCTTGGATTAAGGGCCGACGATGCCAGCCCAGGAACAGTGACATCTTGGAGGGCTATGGAGTGCCGCTCAGCCCTGGGATTTGGCGTGTATAGGGGTGTATTTGTGGGCTAACAAGTGTATACAAGCTGCCCTTCCCCTCCTCCTACTTATAATTTCAGTTTTCAAGGCCTTTCGTAAATATCAACAGGACGGGGATTCCAGGAGTTAGATTTGCCCTGAGCATCCTGCTGAGGGTTAATTCTGTGTATGTTCGGGGGGAGGGTGTGGGGTGCGGCAAGGAGAGAGGGGCAAGGAGAGAGAGTAAGAGCTGGCTCTGTCATCCACTGTCAATTGTAGGGTCCAAACTCGGGACCAGAGCAGTAGTCCTCCAAGGGTGGTCCTCCCGTTGGCCTGTGAACCAGGAGGCCAGGGTTCGATTCCTGGCCAGGGGCACATGCCCGGGTTGTGGGCTCCGTTTATCTTTGGACAGAAATGATCGGGAGCTTGTTCACATTCAGAGTCAGGCCACCTCCGAACCCCATCCCGGAAGCAGCATGTGTGTGTGTGTTTCGGGTGATGGGGACGGGGATCTTCATTTCAACCCTAGTCCCCGCTGATGATTCATCCCCAGGTCCCTGGGTGCTGGGAGGAGTGTCCTCGGAGGGAGGGATGTCTCCGGCGTCCACTAAGAATGTGTTTACCACCCCCAGAGAGGACGCCACTGCTCCTGGGATTTCTGAGCAAACCTCTGGGATGGCTGACCCTAGCAGCGGGCTCCTGGAGAAGGCCTCCTCCTCCATCTCTGCGAAGACCAACAAGTCCAAGCTCCCTGTGGTTGTCTGAGGTCCCTACCCATCCATGGGGGGAACTGATGGGGGAAATACCGACAATTAAAGCCTCTGGCTACCATCTTGTCTCCCTCTTCCTTCCTCGGTGTAGCAAGTCCCCTAGGCAGCCCCGGAGTGTTACCAGTCAGCGAAGGAGTGGGCTCCCAGTCCCGGATGTGAGGCTGTCCGAGGGAGGGGGAGGCTTTCCCCCAGGCTCCTCACCCTTTCCCACCCCCCTCCCACCTCCACTTTTTGGTTGGGCCAAAGGAGACTCAAGTTCAAGTTGTGAGCAGCGGCTGTGTATGCACCCAGACACCTCCCCTCTGACACCCTTGGACATTCCTGTTTATTGTTCACATATTCACATTCCAACCCAGCACAGTCACATGCATACTCGTAGATTCAAAACAAAACAAAACACAAAACACACAAAAACCTTCCGGCCACAGCCCCAGGAGCCCGTCAGGGGCGGAGCCAGCAGGGCAGGGGCCGGGCCACCGCAGGCTCCTCCCACTGAGCCACCCCGCGCTCAGCGTCGCCGGCAAAACACCTAGAACTGGCGGAGGGGTGGCTCTCCGGGCGCCAGGGTGAGCGGAGGGCCGATGACAGGCAGGCGTGGGGGTGGGGGGGCGGATAGGGACTTCCCATCGGAGCAAGGGGTATCAGACGCCATAAAATCTCCCTTCCCCTCTCTCCTCGCTCCAGATGCAAAGTTCTGGGCCTGGACGAGGGCGAGGGGGCGAACGGCACGGAGAGGAAAGACGCCCCCTTCAGCTGGGCGGGGGAACTAACGGGCTTTTTTTCAAGTGCTTGTCCTCGGCAGCGTAGAGGGTCGGGCGCCCTCTGCCGTGCACTCGGGGGATCGCCCAGGAGGCGGTGGAGGCAGAACTGCATGCAGGTGCGGGGAGGCGGGGCGAGAAGCCGGGAAGGGCGCTGGGGGAGTGCGGGGTCAGGGGCTTAGGGTGGGGAAGGAGGGCGAACGGGACTCCCCTGGAATGGAGGACCCAATGAAAGGGCACGGGCTCGGCGACTCCTCGACGGAGCCTGCCTGGGCGAGAAGGAGAGGGAAGGGTCACAAACACTGCAGGGAAGTCGCGTCGCGGCGGAGGGGTCGCGGCATCCATCTCTCCTGGGGAGCTGAGGACAGAGAAGGTCTGAACACCTGCCCTGTCCGGGATTTCCTCTCCCCCTTCCCAGGCCCGGACAACGCCGCGGGAGCGCCAGGGGGGCCCAGGCAACCCGGACCCCAAGCCCCACCGAGTCACGGAGCTGCACCCGGGCGCGGCGGGCAGGTGCGCGCCCCGCTGTGCGCCAGAGCCCGGGGCCGTGATCCAGCAGCCAAACCGAGTGACTGCGTGTCTTTGTGGGGTCAGGAGTGTCCCCATCGCAGCCTCGGACATCAGGATGGATCAGAAGTCCCACCCGCTACCCCCCGTTGCACGGTGCGTTTCCCCGCGGCGCCGGGAGGGTTAAGGGCGGGCCGAGGGAAGGGATGGGGACTGGATCCTTTTCTCCCTCCCACTCGGGTTCCCACCCCACCTCCGCCAGGTCGTCCCGTTACCTTCGAAAATGCTCAGTTCTTCGGTCCGGGGGAGGAGGGGCACAGAGGAGCGTGGAGAGAGGAATAGGTGAGCTCTCGGGCCTGCAGCGCCCTAAGCTGTCTCCCTCGCCCCCCCTCCACCTCCCGTCCCATATCTCCAGTCCCCCCACCCTTAGCTTCCCAAACCCCCCGGTCTGCCTGGCTCCTTCGGAGGGGCTGGGGTTGGGGTGGGGTGGACCCACTCACCTGGCCTAGTCTCCGCTGGGGCCGCCGCCCGCGCCTCCCCGCGCGCCCCCGGCTCCGCCTGGCCCCCCGGGGCCCGGGCCCTTCCGGCCGCTCTCCCGGCTCTTGATCTTCTTTCTCGCCATGTGGCCCCGGAAGCTCGCCTGGATTTTGGCGGCGGCGGCGTTGGCGCCGGGGTCGTCCAGGGGGATGTCCAGGATGTCCTCGTCCGGCTTGGAGCAGGCGCTCTCCTGGGGGCGGGGCGGGGGCAGGAAGCGCAGGGAAGGTGTGGGTGAAGGGTTAGGGCCGGTGTGTGTGTGTGTGTGTGTGTGTGTGTGTGTGTGTGTGTGTGTGTGTCCCTCCTGGGTAGTGGCTGGAATTAAGGACACAGTTCCACGGTTCAGGTTCAGGTGGACACAGTTGCATTCCCCACTCAGGAAAGAGAAGCGCGTGGTGGGATGAAATGCCAGGCAGCAGGGGACCCCCGAGTGGCCAAAGGGCCCATCGCCGTCAGTGGAGATGGGGAGCTGCAGGGCGGACCGGAGGGGATGGGGTCCGAGGAGCCATGTGTACTGCAGGCACCCCTGGGTGTGGCCGCCTCTCCCAGCCCTCAGGGGGGCCTCCAGCTCCAAGGGCCCCTCCCTGCTGCAGTCAGGAGACTGTCTACCTCTGTGGGTTGTGAGGAAGAATAAACAACAGGATAGGCTTAACGTTTCTGGCACAATCTAGGCGTGCAATCAGTGGCAGATATTACTAGAATTCGCTTGAATAATGAGTTGATGCGAACTAGTTGTTTAATAATTTCAGCCCAACCAGCATGGCGGCTCGGTGGTTGAGCATCAACCTATGAACCAGGAGGTCAGGGCACATGCCCAGGTTGGGGGCTCCATCCCCAGTTGTGGGGCGTGCAGGAGGCAGCCCATCAGTGACTCTCGTCATTTATATTTTGATCTCTCCCTCTCTCCTTCTTCCTACCTCTCTGAAATCAATGAAAATATTTTTTTTAAATAAAAAATGTCATATGGTTCAACCTAATAATAATCAGACTCACCCCACACCCCTGCTTTCTGTGTCTCCCCCCACAGTGATTTCAGAGGCAAGGCTCCGGCTGGGAGAGGGCTTGAGCCCCTGGCCCCCGTGTGCTCAGCGTCAATGTAGGTTGGGATCCAGATGGTTCCCCTGAAGTCAGAAGAGCATTTCTCCTTGGACCTGACCCTCTGGCTTCTAGGAATCTGCCCTCATTTGTTTAGCCCGAGGATTTCCACTGCTCTCACTGGGTTTGCTCCCTGGGTGTGCGAGGACCAGATCTCGCGAGGACCAGATCTCGCGAGGACCAGATCTCACGTGGTCATTCCGTTCTGTGTGCTTCCCCAGCCAGGTCACAGAAGCGGGGTGGGGATCAGTGACCACCAGCCCAACCAGGTCCTGCCCCAGATCGAAACCCCAGAGGTCTGAGCACAGGTGTACAGACGCCTTTCCTCGCCATGCTTCCGGGGGACACTCTCGGTTTCATAGGTCTCAGAGTTCTTCGGTGTGTGCCCATCGGTAGTTAAATGCAGTGACAGGGAATTATCAAGGGGCCAGTGTGATCATGAAGGGCCTGGCACACTTTTTGTGTCGTGTGTGTGTGTGTATGTGTCCCGTCTTGTGCTCTCTCCCCGACATCTTATCCCCCACCTAGAAACCAAAGTGACGCTGCTTAAGCCTTTCTTGGGATATTCTCAGGGAACTGGGAAGTTTCCCCTCAAAAGAGGAAAATGAGCCGAAACAGGTTTGGCTCAGTGGATGGAGCGTCGGTCTGCGGACTGAAAAGTCCCAGGATCGATTCCGGTCAAGGGCATGTACCTCGGTTGCGGGCACATCCCCAGTAGGGGGTGTGCAAGAGGCAGCTGGTCGATGTTTCTAACTCTCTATCCCTCTCCCTTCCTCTCTGTAAAAAAAATCAATAAAATATATTAAAACAAACAAAAACATGAGAGTATCTTCCAGACAAAATAGAATGTTTAAAAATAAATACATAAATAAATAAATAAATAAATAAATAAAAAGAGGAGAATGACGGACACCAGCCCAGCCCGCCTCTCCGCAGCTGGAACCGAGGAAGGCCTTTCTTTCCCCAGCAACTGACACTGACCTCTCTGGCCGCCAGCCCTCCCGGCGAGAACACCTGGGTAACTGTGTGTTCGCCTCTTCTGCAGTGATTGGAGAGCAGCTTCTCCTTTTTTTCAGGGGACTCTCCTTCCCGACATGCCTACCAGCCACTCAGTTTGGCTATCTGGGCACTCAAGAGCATGGGCAGGGCAAACCAGGGCCCTCAGGCAGAGACCCAACGTTCTACCCTGCTGTCTCCCGCAGGCGCCACCTGAGGTGAGTCTCACGCCTTCCCCAGCCTCTTGGGTTCTGTGCTGTCTCACCTCCTTTCACTCACCGTGCTGCCTGCTTTCCCTTCCCCATCCTTCTTCCCATCTCGGCAATATTGCCCCCACCCCCCACATTCCACACATGCAGAACCCTCCATCCACGTATTTTCTCTATAAAATACGGTTAGGGGGAAGGAGCCCTTCCTCCGGGGAACCCAAGAGCCTCCATTAAGAGCCCAGTCCTCCTTCCACAACCAAAAATTGCTTCCTGGAGTATAAAAGGAAAAGACCGGAGTGAAAAATGTTATCAGGGCATTTCCGGGGGGTGGGGTTGTAGATGATTGACAGGTTTCTTCTTTATGCTTATCTTTAGTTCTTACATTTTCTCGTGTGAGCAAATCACCTTTTATAATGAGGAAAATAGTAAATATGTAGAGGGGAGGCAATGTATTTGCACCAGACAAGGCTATGTTGGAGCCCCGCCTTCACACTTAGAAGCTGTGCCTCCATGGACAAATCATTCAATCTTTCTAAACCTCAGTTTGCACATCTGTAAAATGGGGACAATAATATCTACCTCATGTGGCCATCGTGATGATGAAATGTAAACTATTAGGTACATGGTAAGCATTTACAACCATTATTAATATTAATATTAACATGAGTTGAAATCATCGTAACATCCACAGCGACCTGAGATGTTAAGTTCTTAATCCTAAATTCTCTCTGCCTCTTGCTACCCAGTTACAAGGAATTCTCACCTTTTATAATCTGGGCTATCCTTTCCTTCCTAACCTCGCTCTTTTTTTCTTTTCTTTTTTTAAGGGTGGAGGGTGGGGAGCAAGCAAAGTCATAAGCTCTTGTATCATTGGTGGGACCGCCTGAATAGCTGAGAATGCAAGGACTTTGCAGTCGTTCTTTCTCCACACGTAGGGGCTAACAATCGATCATTTGAAAAAGAAAAACAAATGTTACGTAGGTCTGATCATCGCACTCCTCTAGTGAGCCAGGCACTTCCCTACCAGAGTCGCCCGGAGAGCAATCTACTTGGATGTGAGAGGCCCTTGGGCATGTAGGTCTCCGTGGGCGCTGACAAGCTGCAGACACTTCCTCCTCTCGCCAGCAGGGCTCTCTCGCGGTCACCCAGTCCCCTCGGGGCTTAGGAGGCGTTGGGAGCCGGGCCAAGCCTTCCTCCCCAGAACCACACGGATTAGGCTCTTTGCTTCCAGCCTCATCACTAAGCTAACCAGCACGCACGGGCTCTCCTAACCCTGCGCCACACGGGGGCTCGAGGCTCCGGAGGGTCCCACCGGGCGCCCGCCCACCTCGGCGGCAGTGGGATGGGGAACGGGTTGGGGGCCGTGAAAGAGTCAGAAGGGAGCCGATGCAGCATCCCTAGGCGATGGTTTCTACCCGCTCTCCAGGGGGGGGCAAGTTTCTCTTTTCCTCCAACCTGCAGCTTCCCTGCTCTGCAGAGCCACGCCGAGCTCCCAGTCCCACCCCAGACCGCCTGGAGGATGGGCGCCCAGACGCCCGGACGCCCCCGCAAATTGGGGAGCATTTTCCTAGGGCTGCCAAGGCAGGCGGGTGCCTCCCACCGCCCTCCGCCGGGTCTCAGCAGGCACACACACCTATGGCTGCTCCCAGGTCTCTGCACCCACTCCCCTCTCTCCCTGCCCCTGCCCTCCGGGGGATCCCAGGACTCTCCGGGTGCCCGTCCCCCGGGCCCTCTAACTTACCGTGCAGCAGTCCATACTGGTGTTTTTTTTGGGGGGTTCTCGCCTGGGCGGAGCTGGCAGGGGTGGGGGTGGGGGGTCCGAGGGGTGCCAGGTGGAGCCTCGGGGGGCCGAGCAGAGCGGGCTGACCCGCGCCGAACCCTCCGCTGCGCTCCCGGTCCCGCTCTCCCGCGCTCGGCTCCGCTCGCGAATGTAACCTGAGCCCTGCGGCCTGGCAGCCAATCACGAGTCGCCTCGGGCAAGGTGGGCGGGGAAAGCTGGGGGGATGGCCACGCCCCCCTCCGCCTTGCTCCCAGTCCCTCCTCCCACACGTTTCCATCCACTCCTCCTACACACTCCTCCTCCCCTATCCAGCCCCTTGCTGCTGCTGAGGCGGCAGACTGCCAGGCTGATGGAGGTTCTCTCCCCCTCCCAACACACACATCCAGGCGCAAACACACATCTGGGCACAGCACCCTCCCGCCCATACATGGAAAACACCCCTCCCCACCTCCTCACACTTCCACAACCTAGCCAGAGTCCCCCCCATAGGGCTCCCTCTAGCTTCCCTCCCCCCTCAGTCCTCAAAGAAAAGCCCCACATACAGTGTGGTTCAAAAGCCCCACCAACACACAGCTGCGCAATGGAGAACGCTGTCGGTATACAACCGCCTCGTGGACGCACAAACACAAGCCCACGTGTCCTATATATGGTTCCCCCAGGTTCACTAAAATGTGCACCGTCAACCTGCGAACCCTACAGGCAAAACCTGCAGGAATAACCACGCAGACCTCTCTACACAGGCGGCCGCCCTAACCACATGTAACGTCTGCATTCTGTTTCTACCATCCACCCTTCTATCTCTCCGTATGCGTTTCTCCAAAGTCTTAGGTGCACAGCACTCGTTTTGTAGGCATGTACATATGGATACTGACTTGGGGAAAAGACCCTTTCCTCCCGATTTCCGTACCGTAGGCTCCCTAATCTCTCGATCCGCTGCTTCCGAGTAAGAGGAAAACTGGCCCCTCTCACTCTTCCCCCGGGAAGACAGATACCCCAAACCCCAGCGGAAGGATGTGGGCTTCCCAAGAGGCTGGGAAGGGGAGATATGGCCGAAACATCTAGGAGGAGCAGCCTCCAGTCTTGTGGCCGCCAGCCTCCTCCACCCTGTCCGGGTTCTAGAGCATCATTGAGGCTTGTTCTATGGGTTGGGTGGGTCATGTTTGAAAAACCTATCCCGTCTTTTGCCGCTAACATCCCACAGGAAGGAAGGAAGGAAGGCAGGCTGCTCCTCAGGCCTGTTGACTGAGACAGAACCAGGAGGAAGCATGTTCTGGGGACATGGCTGGGACCGAGGAGTCTGACACTGCCCTGCAGTGAGTCCTCGGCCGCTGGCCCGTCAGAGCGTGGCTGCTCCAGGCGGCCTTCCTACCTGCACGTTAGCGCCGTGGGCTTTGCTTGCCAAAGGGAAGAGGAGTGGGAGGAGGGACATTCCAGTGGCCACTCGTGATGCAGACAGGGTTGTTGGCCGGCTTGGGCCCCCCCGAGCTGAGCTGGATGCTGGCTGGGGCTCCAGGGCGAGGGGTGTCAGGGTGTCTCTCTCCCAAGCATGGTTGGGACCCACCCACCTTGTAGCTGAAAATCTGTTTTCCAATCTGTCCCTGGCACGTCCTCCATCCCCCACCTCCACCGAATGGCAGGATGTCCTCGGGGGAAACTCAGGCCCTGGCCCAACTGATGTGCACAGCTGGGCCCTTGAGTTGTGCCACTTCCGGTTGAACTTGAACTCCAGACTATAGAGAGGGGGAAAAGGGAGGAAACTGGGGGCAGAGTGGATACCAGGCCTGGACCCTGTGCTTTTTTTCTCTTCCCAAATTAGAAGTCGGGATTTAGTGAGTTTGCAGGAAAGTCTCCCAAGTTGCTAGGCAACGGTCCCTCTGCAGCCTGCGTGCGCTGCCTCTGGGCGCCCTTCCTGCCGGTCAGAGTTGAAGGGGAGAGGGTATCCTGGCATCCAGACTCCCACACAGGCAGCACAGTCCTCCCCTCTTCCCAAAAGGCACTTCTGTGTGGGGCGAGGGTGCCTCTCAGCATTGGCAGGCCCGTGGGGGACCAGGTACGGCAACTGTCAGTTTTTTTCATTCGCAAAACAGCCATTCCAGCAGCAGCCCACTTGAGGCGCCTACTCGGGGAACTGGCCAGGAGCTTGCCCTGGGGGATGGGCAGGCTCTGGGGCGAGGAAAAAAGGTAGAGAGGAAGACAGAGACGGTGATGAGGAGGCAGACAGGCGCAAACTCAAACATCCATAACACATCCATACAGACCCAGAAAGCGCAGACACACATCCTTGCCCATGCCCAGAGGCGGACCCCTCCTCCTCCACCACGAAGCCAGGGACATGCTCCCCCTGGAAAGGGTTCCTCTTCTGGACAGGAGGCCAGGTAGATGGGCTGGGTCAAACTCGGAGCCGCTGAGCCTCCAGTGGATGCGCTAGGAAAAGGGACCTCAGCAGCAGGAGCTGGGGAATGGCTGCCTTGCTCTGAGACTCTGGACCCTTTTTAAAAAAATATATTTTATTGATTTTTTTTATTTTTTTTTTACAGAGAGGAAGGGAGAGGAATAGAGAGTTAGAAACTTGAGAGAGAAACATCGATCAGCTGCCTCCTGCACACCTCCTACTGGGGATGTGCCCGCAACCAAGGTACATGCCCTTGACCGGAATCGAACCTGGGACCCTTCAGTCCGCAGGCCAAGGCTCTGTCCACTGAGCCAAACCAGTCAGGGCGAGACTCTGGACCTTTCAGAGCTGTGCCACGTGACACTCCCCTCTGAGGAGTCATAGGGGAACGGCCTTGGTGTCCAGTTCAGCTCTAGGAGAATTACCTGTTACTAACTAGCTGGGCCTGGGTCTTTCTTGACTCTTCCATTCCCAAACCTCTCGGCCCCCGCAGCCACAGGAGGAAAAGGACTTCAGGCAGATGAGCTCCAGAAGGGCCAGCGGAGAGAAGGAGCCAGGCCTGTAGGTGGGTGGGCGGGCTGGGCCCAGCAAGGAGGGAGGGGCACTGCCTAGAAGCCCAGGCCAGGAGGAGGAGGTGGTTGGACGAAAGAGAGGATGAAAGATGGATTAGAGGGAAGCTTCTGGGGTACCACACAGATCCTTCTTGGGACAGATGGAGGGGATTTGGAGAGGGTTTGGTCCTTGGAAGCGGAGAGAAACGCCAAAGAACATGGTAAGCTATTTGCCAATGCTCGTGGCTCCCCCTCCTCGGAGCAGGCACCATCTGAGCAGAACCCCATGGCTCGAGCCCACGGAGGGACTCCACGGCCAGGAGAGGCCTGTGCCGTCGGCAGAGCCGATCTGGGGGCTTCTTAGGTCAGGATTCTACCCGTTTGAGTGGAAGGCGTGGAGGTAGCAAAGAAATTCAGTTTTCTGTGCAAATATTTCAGCTTCGCTGTGATAGTATTTTTAGCAACTCGGTTGGCAGAGGAGGAGCCCAGGCACATTTTTAAAGGGGCCGCTGCCAGACTGGAGGCCTCCTCCCACCCTCACCCACATATCATGAAGGAGAAGGGGAGCCGTGCAGGGCTGTGTGTGTGTGTATGCAAACGTAAAGCAGGTTTGCTGGACATTCAGTGACTAATAGCTCATCTTTGCCAACAGTTCTTACGAATCCCCGTCAGCATCATCCTTCTTAGCAGCATTATCAGGGAGAGTAAATACGTCTGAACTCTGCGGGGCACTGCTAGGGACCCATGACGAAGGCTTCAGGTAATGGCCTGCTAAGACTGGAGGCAGCCGGCTTCTGAGCCAGCACTGGGCACCGAGTGCTGTGTTGGGCACACTGTCTGTGCCATTTCAGTTCATTCCTAAAACACCCAGTGCGCTGGCAGTATGTCTCCTATGTTACAGAGAGATGATGAAGTGAAGGATTCTAGGGGTTAATACCGTGCCCAAGGCTACACAGTCAGAGGAACACTCAGAGCAGAATAATGTTATCCTAAATCTCAATAGTGCTTTACAAAGTGCTTCCGCCTCCATCATTTAATTCTGAGGGAGCATTCGACATTTTTAACCCCTTTCCTGATGAGGAGACCTCTAAGTAACCTGTGACTTGTCCAATGTCAGACCTCTAGTGCAGTGATCGTCAAACTCATTAGTCAACAGAGCCCAGTATCCACAGGACAATGACTGACATTTCTTTGGAGAGCCACATTTTTTAAACTTAAACTCTATAGGTAGGTACATGGCTATGAATTGAATCAGGGTACTCCTGAGCTGGCCTTTGCTAAAAACTCAAGGGGCCAAAGAGCCGCATGTGGCTCGCGAGCTGCAGTTTGCCAACCATGGCGCTAGTGACTTGCAGGACTCGGGCTTAAACACACAGGAATTCTGACTTTTAAGTTCCGTGCACGTTCACCTCGAAACTGCTGTGTGCCGCTTGCATGGGGCTGGGTGGAATGGGTCGCCGTGGTTACAAATCAGATGTAGTCTCTTCCCTCTTGGATCTTCCAGTGTGATGATAAAAATACATATGGATGTGCACACATATAGATCTGTATAAATATGTATCTATGTATGAGATGTATTTCTATTTTCTAAAGTAATGATCAGTCCAAACGCATGGTGCCGACGGTAAATGGTATGGGAGCTGCGGTGTGGGAGACCGTGATCGAGAATTTGGACGATCAAGGAAAGGTTCCTGAAAAAGGATGGTTTGGAGGAAGAGGAGGACTCAGGGGAGGGAAGGGGAAGGGCCGGGGACTGGGCGGGAGGACATTTCAGGCAGCAGCAGAGCTGTGAGCCAGGCACTACATTTAGCGTCACTGTCAGCTTACGCTACCCTCGTCCAGAAAAGCCTGAAGGACAGCGACCCCAGTCTCCTTCCCCTCACACATGGTTTCATGTCAAAGTTCAGTGCCCCGACTTTATGGTGACCTACTGGAGCCCGCCAGGAGCTCCCCAGAAATGGGCTCCTGCTGTCCCTTGGAGCTCGAACACACGCCTACGCCTTTCTCCTCCCGGTGCTGCACCTGTCTGCTTCCTTCCCCTCCACGCCCTTTTTCTCTGTGTCTCCGTGGAGTTCAAAGTCCTGGATCTGATTTGCAACTTGTTTGTATATTGCCCCAAACATCTACTCGTTCTAGACCACTCTACTTCCCTTTCCTCAGTGTTCTGTGTGCATAAGAAGCTAGTGACAACCCAGCCAGCATGGCTC